ATATCAGGAACTCTAGGCAATCGCAAATTGAAGCTATTAAGCCGCTCAGAACTATTCCACCTCGAAATTTGATAAAAAGTTAGCACCCCATTTTTAAAAAATGTAAAAAAAATGTTTATTGAGCGGAACTCTTGTTATTAACTATAGGGAACTCTTCGTCTCGTCAAAAGGAAGTGGGAACTCTAATCAGAACTCCTGAGTAGGTACTATAGTTGGGGTGCTAACTTAACATACCCCATTTTGTACCAGTTTTTTACCAAAAAATATCGATTTGTCACTGACAAGGACTTTATCTAAAAAACGTGGAATTTTACCTGTAGTAAGGTCACTTTGGAGTTCAAGATTTTTTCGAAGGAATGTTCTGAAATCAGAAGACTTTTCTATTTTACTTTCCTTTGCGACAACATTCTCGAAAACTAGTAAGTCTAGTTTATAATTCTTAACGTGTATGGTTATCGTTACATTATGTTGCACATAAAATGATAAAAACGCTGCTCAACAACGATATCGTTAAAAGTTTCAGAATAGATCAGTGACTTGCTATTTCTTCTTTAATAAACCTTTGTTAAAATTGATGTATAAAGTTACGAACGAACAAGTTTTATCAGAATATTCGGATAGTCGTTTTAAATAGAAGAATTTATTTACATCATAGGTTGATTTGTTCTCAAAATATGAACCCTTTATTTTACAAAGCTTAATAATAAAAATTCTTTAATTTGTAATTATGTAATAATTATATGATTTATTAAAATAAAATAATATTAACATTACAATCACTATACTAACCTTAGTAAAATGTCCTCTTCACAGATATTGTTCACACATTATTCTTTATAGTGCTGCAATCCGTTATTCCAGTGAATGCATCTAAAACCGAACCTATTCAAGAATACTTTTCGAGATTATTATTCGAGATAGATATTGATGAATTGTTTGGCTTAGATCAACTATCTGAACACACTGTAACCAAAGCCTATTTGTTCTGTGACGGAATAACTTTATACATATTATGTACGATAAATGTAAAAATCAAATCTGACAGCTGCCGACTATAGGAATGTTATTCTTTGAATAGAAGGTCATCGTCAAAACCCTAAATCGGCAAAAGCACGTCCGAAGCATTAACTCGAAAAAGATTTATCATATCGTGCATTAGGCGAGTGACGTGCATTTTTTTCTTTACTTTGAAAACTACAAAATATTATTTGGCAAAAGGCTTGTGTTGTATCTTAATAATTCTTGAACGTGATGCAGAATTTTTAAGTGGCTGTATAATACTTATGTAATTTACGATCATTTTCGTGTCCTTGGAAAAATATTTTTATTCTAGAATTGTGAAAGTCACGATTTCTAAAATATGATATCGAATAGTTTAAATAATAGTTAAAATAATAATTAAAATTTTTTCTAACTACATGAATAATCTACAATTGATAATTTGTTTTGTGGAACATAAATCGCGTATATTATTTTTTATATATGTAACATCAATAATTCTCACTCTCACGCTGCAACGTCCGCTTTTGCCAAGCGTGTATTGCATTGCGGTTTCTATAATTTCGCTGCATTTGATGCATACATCTTACGTTACCACTAGACAACACATCGATGTAAATCGAGATGCGAGGCGATTTCACTGATTTCGAGACTTGCGTAGGTGCATCCGATGAGAAATGCTCGAGATTTGCGTTTCGCACGCGATCCATGCATGGTTCTTATGTAATACGAAAATTGCTTTAACAAACATTCTGCGCTACATTTTATTAAGAACTGACCTGTGAAATCGGCAATGTTGAAAGAAAGAAAGAAATCGGGGGGGAAAAAAGATTGTTTTAGTCCGATATTCATAATGGATTCTCATCTCTGATATTGTCATTTAATACGCTTTGTGATTGATAAGACATTACCTCGGGCATTATCAATCACAAGACGTATTAACATTTAAGATATTGTTATGCCTGGTTTATGCTTTGGTCTTAAGGACTTAATCCTAAAATTCAGCCAATAGAGTTCAAATTTCGGTTAGAACTGGCAGCTTTATTGGTTGAATTTTAGGATTTTGGGATTAAGACCTGAAGCATAAACCAGGCATTAAGATGATTTGAATTAAAAATTAGCTATAGACATCGGTTTATACGTGAACATAGACATGAACATTTATTACTCTTGTAATGTACGATCATTCTATACAATTTTTACATTTCAAGTTTGTTCTTCTTTACAAGTTATATTAAAAATTCTTTATTAGCGACTTGAAAACTTTCTTACAAATGTTTTACGATTTTAAACAGATAATAAAGAAGAGCACAAGAAATCGTATTTTTGAAAATACACACGATAAAACTACGACAAAGTTTGTTTCTGTTTGTTAAATTTAGATATATATTTGCGCGCGCAAAAAAAAAAGTTATTTTTATTACCTTTATAAATTTCAAGTCTTATCAGAGTTAAAGGAAATGAATGATCTGTGAATATATCCATAAAACTTTTTGTTGGAAGAACGAAATTTATGTTTCATTCGTGAAAAAAAAAGCTTTGTAAATACGTGGTTTAAGTGCGTTAAATTTTTATCGGCAAAAGGAAGAGAAATGAACAGCCGACAAGAGAATAAAAAATGATGATGGTTGTTTTACGCAACAGCGAGTGAAATTCGTCATGTTGTTAAAGTTTATTTCCCTCAAACATCGCATTTCGGATTAGCACACACCATGTAGCGCCTGCATAGCCGATGACTTCCTAGACGATTGCGCGATCGCTGCAGGATGCGGCCGCTGCTTGCTTGCGTTATCGCTTCCGTTACGTCGCCTCACCGGCGTTTTACGTCGCTCGTATCCCCGACTTTTTTTTTCTTTTCGAAACCCAGCAGACAGCACCTCGATATGTTGCACTCTGCTCCGGGTCAGGATTCACTGGCAGCCACGTATAACATACACGTAAATCACAGGATTACGATAATGGCGGGTTGCCACTGAGACCGAGTATGTATTTCTGCATTTATTTCTGTCTGCATACTCGGTGAAACGTGACGAGATGGAAGGGTGTAGTGTAATCAGGAGCGGCTTCAGGCAGTTTCTGCATCTACCGACGCAAGGTTCAAGTATGCATCGCTTTCATCATAGTTGTTATCCAGTCGGAATTCCAGACTGCGGAAAGTGGACGTACAACATTGCAAAATTCATGAAAATCTGGGTTGATTTTGTTCGATGGATAAATTTTTAAGATATTATCAGGAGTTTTTAAAGTGTAAAACGTTAAGAGTGAAGAATGATTCTGCGCGTGAATTAAATTCAGAGGTAGAGGCAATGTTCTGTTAATTTTTATTGGGTTATTTAGTTAAATTAAAGCTCGAGATTTTAACTCCCTTTCAAATGAACTGCTTTATTATTATAGCGTTATATTATGAAACTATAAACTTATCCCACTTTGCAACACCTTTCGCAATCATACTGGCAACGGATGTGTACTTAAACCAAACCTATGTTTTTCATTCGTCGCAAGAAAAAGCGAAATAATGTAAAACACGGTGGAGACTAGTTTCCTGTGTTCACTTTTGTTACGCAAGGGATGATACGAGTTACATAAATAAGACCCTTTCGTTTCGCACGAGAATAACGTAAAACACTCGTACGTTGCTGCTCGGTGATTTGAGCATTTTGCTCAGGAAGGTGACGAGACTCCACTGCCCATTGAAATCATCGGCTTGAAAACGGCAGCGGCAATCCGATGAGGCAACGTCCCGCCATGCATCGTACACTGTTGATAAGCTCGGTGCGTGATGATGTGAGGTTGCGTGTCTTCGATACGGCGAAGAGATTGAAAAGCGTGTTCACTCACGATGGCCGGTCAGAAAACGCGTTGCATTATTCGTGCAATTAGTCATGAGAGATTGGATCGCGCAGATAGCCGAGGGTATATCCGTTGTGAGAAGTTAACAGCTCTCGCGAGAATTCGCGCGCGGGCATTTGAGGCAATTTCGTACCGTGAAATGGATGCGCGCGATTAGACGTGATCATCGAGGAAAAACGTTTCCGTGCGCGGATGTTACGAAGAAAGAACGTATACGAAAAATCTGATTGAAATAGCATTTTTTTCCCTATCTTTTGCATTCTGAGAAAACATCTAACAAAATCAGCTACTCAATTCACATTGTAACTTCCGTAGACGTGATTGTGAATCGATTATATGTAATTAATTGGCATTAGAAAGGAAAACAGGAATGACTGCATTAATTAGCACGTCGTTCTGGATAACTATCGTCGCTATACGAGGACAAAAGTGAAATCTTCCTGCATATAGGAACTAGGTCTCTGTAGCACTTGAATTTCCAGTGCACAAGGTGTACGCATTAATATTTTATTGAAGAATAATGATGTAAATACAACATAAAATTTGCGATAAATTTAAATATTTATATAATAAAAAGTTGTATACATGTAAATTATAGATTTCTAATCATAGGATAGACATGTAATTATAGGACATGTAATTATGTTTTTCATGTGCGTGTTTATAACAAGAGAGAAAAGTTCATCCGAGAATTAGTCATATTTTAATTTGTAAAAGAAAGTTGTCTTAGTTTAAATACACAAAAGAGACATAAATAGATAATATTCTCTGTGACACAGTTCTTTATTATTACTATCTTTTTTTATTTTTAATAACATTGTAATGCGCATAAAATCTATACTGCATCTTTTTATGAAACTTACATCAGCATAAATATAAATCTACTTATTTACACTCGCGTCGTTATCCGCGAGATACTTGATGATAATTGCAATAAATTAACAAGAAACGCATTACATTGCAGGATCCAATGGCGCAGGATGCGGTTATCCAGGTGCACCGGCACATAGTAGCGTGCGTTTCACCATCAGAGATAGCGACGACGTCATAGACGAGGAGGAGGAACTCCTTAAGGAAACCACGCTGCCGCTGGGCACTATAGCTACATATTCCTGTGAACGTGGATTCGAGCTTTTAGGACCAGCGAGGAGAGAATGCCAAGTCGGAGGCTCTTGGATGCCGGAAGGCGTACCCTTCTGCGGTAAGAGAATCATCCATTTTTTGATAACATTTCTAATTATCTCAAACATAATGCTAATTCCTTTAAGCAGTAATATTATACAATTAGATCTGCGATAGTTTATCGTTCATCACTGTTTGTAAGCTATGTTTTATCAGAACGTTTGATATCCGTAAAAGATAATCCATATAGGAATAATGGAATTCTTGTTCACAATTTCAAATTACAAATTGCAAATTTTTAATTTTCACAAATAATTTTTTACTTAAAAATCTATTTAACTACATTGTCGAGGTAAAAGAAACTGCATTTTGAAAATAAGTAAGAAATTTGATTTTTCTATATAATCGATTATTTATTTTTAATGTTTTCGTGAAGGCGAAATTGAGTGCAAGCTGGACAGAGAGTAGGTAAATGACTGAATAAGTCTGAGAGATTCCGCATAACATAAAACGTCTTTATATGGAATAGTCCGCCTTTCTATAATTTGGCGCGAAAAGCCGTTGATGCTCGACTGTATTTGAGTTCGCTGTTTCGGGAAGGCAAGTGACCCGATTCCACGTGTCCTTGACCGAGCAGGTCCGACAACGACGATTGGTATAAGCAGTGTCGGACGTGCCGGTGGGGGTAGTGCACCGTTAACTCTGAACCTGTTACTACTTAAGATGCCTGCGGCCTTCCCAATCTTATGCGCATTCCTCAAACAGAAACCTGCCAGAGTTTTCATTGTCCTTGGACCGGATCGAACGAATTTTCCTCGTTCTTCTTGCGTCGCTGGAAACATCCCCGTATTTGCTTCTCGATATTTCTATTATGTCGTTTCTATCACCTATTACTTATTTTAATCATAAATGTATCTTTATTTCATCTTGGACGAATAAGATAAAGAAAATTCTTGGTTTATCATAGATGAAATTTTAATTTTCTTTTAATGATGTCTATGGAACTCAAGACAGCTCATTAACAAGTTTATTTCATAAAATATCTTACGTGTTTTCTCATACATGTTTTCCTATATATGAAGCGCAAACATGTATTAATGCTCGCACTTCTCACTAACGAAAGATATCCGACTGATAATGGATGCTTCTCGTATATTCCGTGCATATGTTACAGAAATTACTTATCGGTGGAATGCGTTTTCTATAGTGTTGCGTTCATCTCAGGAATGAGGTTTCGAGAAAGATTCTCCTTCTATTACTTCTCTATTGAACGCACTGATCACAGAGTAAATCAAATGTTCATCAGGTTGAAATTTATCAGGTTAACAGATCGTAAAAATGATATCTATCACAAAAGAAGATATTACGAATATTTTTGTACTTTTTAAAAAGAGATAATATTTATTATATACTTTACTCAGAATTCTTTTTAAATTGGTGAATTTCTTATTCTATATACTTTATTTTGTAAAAGAGAATATAAAATTAGAAATTGAATACATTATATAATTATAGAAACATCTGTTTCTTGAAAGCAATGAATGATTTATACGTAATCATTTAAATTTTAAATACAAGTTTTAATCATTTATAAAATTGATACATTTGCCATAAAGAATATGAAAAAATGGATGCTATCATAAAATATACGTGTATTATAGTTCTATGATATTAAATAAATAACTATTCTTAAATATATAATTAATATCATAAATTTATTAACGGAGAAATTTTAAACAAAAAATAGTTTGTAAAATTTTAACTTAACTATTTTTATTTTTTTATCTTCAGAAAAGCTAGAACTAGAATTAAAGAAAAAGTAAAGTAAACCGCGAACTGATCCATTTTTATTTTGTTAGTCGTGCAATTAACTGATGATTGAATGAAATATGCTCTGGAAGTGCATAATGTCGCTCTTTTCCTTTTAGCGATAAAATTCTTACATATGTTCTCATGCGAAACGTATCGAAGTGAAAGAGCATGGCTCGGAGAGAATCGCTTCTGATGAGATCTCACAGCCATGCTCCGCGAATTCAACGACAGGCTGAACTGGTCCAGGATCACGAGAAATGGCGCTGTGTTGTGGGCGGAAGTGGGTCGCGTGGATTACAAGTGCACGATGTCGACACGCCCCGATGATTGCAAGGACTGTCTCTTCGTGGCGTGAACCAAGCAGAACGCGAGAAAGAAAGAATGAAAAGAGAAATGCACTTGTCAGGTGCCGACAAATCTTCTCTAATAATGAACAATAATATAATATAAATTATGCAATAAGTAATTTACATTGAATTACTTATTCTTTCATTTATTTTACAAATTTTTCACGTATAAATTTCACGTCTCCATTTCCGGGTTGAGTCATAAGTAGGTCTAATTAAAACGTTAAAACAATGCTCTGATACTTTCATTTGTCAATGAATATTTTGCTGTGCAGAATATCAATAACATAATCTAACAATATATCACTTTTTTGTTCATTTTACCTCAATTTACTTAAAGTTCTGACGTGTATTACGCAAATTCTGACAACAATATCGTATTCAGTATAAAAAAGGTTTTGAGATGTGTACTATGTTACTTCGGAGAGAATTTAGTGTTGAACTATGTAATTAATCCTGCAATATACTGAAATAATAATGTAAGTTCTTATATTAAATCGATGTTCTACTTTTTTAAGTGAAAAATGTTCGATAATTAATGCAAATTTTATAATCTTTCTAATAATCTCTCTAATTAATCTCTGATATGATAATAAACTTTTTAATCGACCGTAAAGTATAATGAGATAGTAGTACAAGTCCCTTAATTATATACGTTAATAAGTATTTGTCGTTAAAGATAAATCAGATATGTACTTAGAAAAGCATTATTACTAGATATAGGCGATCTGATAAAACAGTCGATGGAGATAATTGCAGCCATCAACGATGACAGTGCGAAGTTTTTGTCAATGCGTGACATCCTAAACATATCTAAATGATATATTTTACTGGAACAGGATTATATAGGTTACGATTCTCGATTTATCCGATTAGAGGGAAAAAAGGGATAAGGATAAGTGAAACTGCTATAATCAGAAAGGCGGAACATTATCTCTGAAATTATTTTCAAATTTCACGGTCTGCATATAAAAATCGTTAACGACCTCTTAACCCGAATATTTTCGAGCACTCAACTCTATTCTTGAACGATAATATTGCCAATTATCCTCAGCAAATTTTAACACTTAAATATGTTATTGACACAGATTCTTTTATTTTATTAATTCTTGCCTCTTTTTTAAACTTTATGTTTACTTAAGTATATCCAAATGTGTGTGTTATCTGTTTTGGTTTTTAATTATGAATTATAGATACATGCTTTAAAGAGAAGGACGAGAAAAGTAATATAAATTTTAAATGACACATTCTATCTTCTATCCAGTTACATACACTTGTTGCGTTCAGAATTTCTTGATAATTGAAATAACATGTTGCAGATATCTAATGGAGATTCTTGAATCTTGAATATCAATGTATGTATTTTATTTTTATATACGTTATCGAATTTTTTAAACAAAAAATAATTTTATTAATTATATTGATTCATTTGTAATAATTTTTATACAAATAATTTTCCATACATTCGTGAATCTGGGAATTGTACGAGTAAAACGTTAGAATATCCAAGAATTTCTTTTAAATATCTCTGTTAAATAATAGTGGAGGGTTCGGTATAGACTACCGGTAATTCAGTAGAGCAGAATCTGACACATTCCTCTGCGGTAGTCTTTACACCTGTTTCCTGAGGCACGAGGAAACACCGTGTAGATTGATGACGTTGTAATAGCATTTCTTGTACGGGGCAATAACCGTCGAACATTCGCGGGCGTTTCTTCGTCATTATTTCGACGATCGTGAAGCAAGCGTGTGCGCGAGCAGTGTTTGCACAAAATTGCTCGATTGCCCACCCAAGACGGTCGCAACAATTTCTCGTGATCCGCCGACCGCGAGAGCAGGTTGCCACTTGCGCAACTGTGCGTGAACTTGACTTTTTGAACGTATACCTCTCGTTCGCCTTCTGTAATAGGTACGCGCTGTTTCCGTAAAGAATCCATTTGTGACCAGACTTTTAGGATTAATGTTATAAAGAGGAAGTATACGAAAGCCTTCAAGTATCAATTTCAGGCTTCAACAAAATTTGCTGAACTTAAAAAAAGATATATATAACATCTATATATAGAATCAATATTAATACTTTAATATTATTTAATAAATTTAAATACTATTCACTATAGTGTCTTTTAGAATTTAAAAAGTTTATTTCTGTGGATTTCAAAATGGAACGAACTTAACTCTCCTTATATAAACAGGACTGTTTTATCTTTCAACCTCCTTTTAAACAAGTCTTGACTTTAAACGTTTTATCTAATATTTCCGTTCTCCAAGAACGTTCCGAAAAAATGGATTATTCCATCGAAATAATGTCTTCATAAAAAGTTCTAGTCTAGAGATTTACGTGAACTATATTTGAAAATGTTTGAAGTTAGAGAGATTATACACCATAGTAAAAAAGTAGAACTGCGTTTACCATCTGGTAAACGGTATAATAAAACTTTAAGTCAGGACATAAAATCAACTCTTGTCTATGAAACGTTTCCTGTTTTTCGATCTTAAGAATGCTAAGTACTTCGTATTTTGCGAAAGTAAGACTGCACTTTCTTTTTCAGTGTTCAATAAAGATCGCGTCACGATATAGTTTAACGTTTAACTGGTTCAAGTTAAGATAGGAAGCTTGTTATTATTATAATAAAAGTGGTGAACTTAGCAGTTTTACAGGGGCAAGTATTGTTTTTTGTTGTGTCATTAATCTCTTTGCATCATCAGTATTCTCGTCATGATAGAAATATGGCAAACAAGGATAGAACGATTAACATGTCGACATGGTATAATATTACCTTGCCTTGATGATTAAACTATAAAAATAATCCGTAGATGACGCCTTGCAATGAAAAATAATAGAATAATGCGTACCAGAGTGACGTAAGCATTAGCAAATGATTTCAGGGACATGTCATATATACTATTTTACTATGTCATCTATAAAAGAAAATAAAATAGTGTCTATATAGCACAACTTTCAGTTATTAAAACTTTTTATTTTTAGTTCTGATTTTAAGTAATATTTTGTTTTATTTTATTTTAATTTTTCTCTTGGCTTAATTTTGATTCTTCTCTATAACACTTTATCTGGTTTTCAATAAAACATTAATTTATAAATATGTATTTTATTATAGTAGTTTATTGACATGAACATTAAGTGCAAACATTTTATATTGAAATAATTTTATTATAAAAAAATCATAAAAGTAATTAGAATAAAAGACGTTACTGTACATGATTACCTTTATTAGGTCGAAAAAATATACCATTGCGGATTGCTCGTGGTACTCCTTATTACACGATATCGACGGAAACGATATAATAACGAAAAAAGCTTTTGCGTTTGCATGTATAAGAATAACTGTAAATTATGAGTTATGTATGGCGTGCATACGCATTCGTCTTGTGGGAACGTGCGCTGCATACATGGAGTTTCATGGGGCGCTAGCCAGTATGTAGGTTTAGGTCGAGAATGCATCGATTATCTTGATGTGTCGAACCGACGCCTATTCGATAGAATTTCGATTGCTTCATTAGGATGATTAAGTACAGCAAACGTTTAACGCCACGCGTTTCGATGAAGATTATAATTTAGCCGCTCGATTAATCGCACTCTACAATGCACCTTTAATTCGAAATTTTGCATTCAAAGTGCAAGTCAATTTTTTAAATAATTAATTTGTAATATTATTCACTTTTTTATTGCTGATTATGAAAATAATAAATCTGAACAGTGTTGTAATTGCAATTCATCTCCGTTTAAATTGCTTCATGATTTCTAGCATTTTCACACGGTTGAAGAATTAATTTCGTTGGATTTTAATGTTAATTATTTCTGATTCGGAATCGATTGTGTAATCTGCTCTTCTTTACCTCCAACGGAGCATAAGTTTTTTTCCGCACGGACTGCAAGAATACAATTCTGCAGAATACAATTGAGCCCGAAGATTAGCCTTAGCGAGTAAACCTGACCGTTCTTTCCCAACGCATTTATCGGACTATCTTGAAGATGCGCTTGATACATATGGGTGAATCTTCAGTAAGCCCTTTGTTTACGCATCGGACTTCTACATGCGATACGCGTCTTGTCTATGCATCTCTCGATTGTTCCACGCCAGATTTCATGAGATACCGTGAGGCCGTGGTAACAAATTGTGTATAGAAACGCGCGTCTCATAGTATCTCAAAACAGTGCTATGAAATGTTTATACCGAGCAAGTTACGTATTATACCGATTATGAAGAATGTTGTGAGAATTTCATTAACGCATTTCCAACGCAAGCAATCAGCAAACACTTTGCAAGATTATTATCTGTCTATTTCATATATTATGGAATACCTGTTTTCTTGCGAGTGCTATGTATGAAATTTGCATATACAATGACATTTATGGGAACGTAAATGGAGAAGGTCGTGAAATGTTTCTTGGTCTAATTTGATTGTAAAATATAGTATAACTTAATCTCAAGTGATTACAAAGAACGATACCGGATTACCTCACTTATACTCAATTACGAGTGTCATTATACTCTACGTAATACTCTTGCAAAAAGCAAAAGCATTACGGAGACCCATAATCTAATCAGCCTCAGTCATTAAGTAAAAAATGATATTGGATTAGCTCTTAAACGAGTATAAACGAGCTAAATATCATTATATTATGTAATAACGAGATAATGCAACAATAGTATTATGGAGACCCGCCTGATTGATCGGTCCAGCACAATGAGGGATACCGATTTCATCGCTAAGCTCGGATTCTGATTAGACATGATTAAGGCCGAGGTGACGCGTATCGCAGGCTAGTAGCACGTACCGTCGTCATCGGCATCGCACCAATAAAATTCTGACGTTACGGTACAGTAAAACTACCGCAAGGCCGCCAACGTGTTCGCGAATGCACGGCATTTGTTGCACAAAACTTGGCGATGGCCACAGATGGCCGTGGTCTCCATCTGCGTGTGCCATACGGCTATTCACCCGTGCGGCGGTGGTGGTGGCGGCGGCCGACCTTCTTTTTATCAGATAGATATATGGAAATGAGTTACAGCGATTTTCTCACAGGAAATTATCGCCGCGTTACCGAGGTATGCGTTCGATATGTGTAAAAAAAAAAAAAAAAGAAACAAAGGAAAAATCTGTGCGGTTGTGTGCACGTGCATACCAGAGCCTGGATCCTCCATCGCGTCGTTCTTTACCTTATAATCAAGCAGCCGCCCGTTTAATTTATAGATCAACTTTAGAACGGGTGGTGCGTAGTAATCTCTAACTAACGCGATGTAATCTCATGCCCATCTTCTGTAATGATGCGCTCGTTAAGATGAGACTCTAATCGAGCATCTGTATTAGGGATACGACAAGTAATTGGTATAGGAAATCAGTTAGAAAAAGGGAGAATCAATTTTTATTGTATATTTGAGAACACAAAGGGCCTGCAAGATACTACCTCCATTATAGCCTCATCGAATTTATTTGCGTCATGTCGTGTTGCACAGAAAGATTTAATTATACCTTTCATCATCTGAGAAAAATAGTTCATTTCGCACCAATTATCGAGCATGACAATCGATTGTGTTAATTCTCCTTTGCAGTTCTGAACGTGGCAGGCGGCAAAGCGCCGATGCAGTCCAGCACCTCGAAAGCTGGCGGAATTCCGCAACGTGCGGTTGACGGAAGCAGCAGCCAGAGATTCACGCTGCAAACTTGCACCCTGACGATGCCCGAACGCAAACCGTGGTGGTACGTGAACCTGTTGGAACCGTACATGGTGCAGCTGGTGCGACTGGACTTTGGCAAGCCGTGCTGCGGTAAGTAATACCATATATATTTCTTCGCGCTCCGCCGCTTGTGAGAATTTACCGTTTCGCGTAATAAATGAACTCTTGCAAATCACAGACGATATTTCTACACACTATCGTTCCAACATTTAATGAGCGCGTCCAGCGTGTCGTTTACCCCTTAGACGTCGACCTCGAAGACATTTTCAATTTTGTGCGAAACAAATTTGAAAAGTCTAAACGTATAACTAATGATATTTTGGAATTATTTACTGTATTTTGAATTTGTAACTTTTAAGTATTAACTGATAAAACTATTGAATGAATGAAGAATTTATAGATGTGGAGAATTTGAGATAATTATAATATTTTCTGATCTGAATATGTAACAGATAACAAATTTCGTGCTAAATAGTAAATACAATGATAAATATTATTAACGTTAAAAAATATTATTCGGTACTGATCAAAGCAACGATTAAGAGAGCGAGCAGTGGAAAATTGATATTTGCACCGCGATCTTCAAGAGACGATTCGCTCTGTTTCCAATTATTGCTTCGGACGAATGGTTGACCATTTCTTTCCAGCGGGACGATTTACGGCGTCTGACGTGGAGTGTAAAATAAAATAAAATTTGTGAAGGATCGTAAGAAAGATCGTGATAGCGTCGGTAATTAGACCTTTGCCGTTCAGTGTAGTGGTTTACAAGCGCATCGAATCGTTGCAGTATCTATTATATTTTCTTCGCGGTGTCAATCTCGCGGGTATTGAATCAGACGCTCGTTATGAGGTTGCGTCGCTCGACGGAAAAAGTTGGTAAAAAGCGGTGATAAAGAGCATTTTGCGCGCGCTACAATTTGCTGTGAGGGGCTTCGTTCTGTAATGAGCGTTACTGCTGATAAGCGCGGACGATAAAGTCTCTCGGTGATCTCGATATGAATTCTAATGCAAGGCCCACGCTGTCGAGATAAAATCTCCGCGATACCGTAGTAAGTATCTTATCCGTCGTTTAGTACTTTCGTTTCCATGGCATGTTTTCTCGACTTTCTATCAATAAATAAGCATTACTGAGATAATTACCGGTAACACAAGCTCAGCAAGATGGATCCGTGATCGCGAAAAACAGATTTACTATCCAATATTGCCAGCCTACGCTTGAAATTATAATACTTTATTATTAAATTGAGTTATATTAAACATCCTTTCTCATATTTATTTGAAACTAGTTATATGTATAAATAATGTATTAATGATAGTTACTTTTCTCTCTTTTTAAAATTTATCTTTTATTTATAAAGATGCAATATATAATTATAGATTTTTAATTTCTCGATGTCGAATTGTCACCTGTTAAAGTCGGAAAATTTTTCTATAATATACAAACTTAAACTTTTTAATATTAAATTCATTTCGTTCTATTTTATTAAAAATATTAATTTTTCTAATATATTATTCTATTTTTTTATTGTTTTATATTTATTGTATAACATACGTCCTGTTGTGTAAAGATAATGCGCAGATAAAAGTATGCAAACGTTGCGATCCAATTTCGAAGAAATTGACGCTTCAGCGAATATTCGTCGATCTGATAACGAAATCAGTATATTGTGAACAATCGATGGCTGGAGGCTAGTCCTCATGATACTTTCGATGTAAAACAAATAGATCGCGAGAATTTCGTGTTCACAGAGCCGCAGAAAATCCATCTTATTTTTTGCACAAACGATCCGTAAAATTCCATCATAAAATTCGCACTTCCTTCCCTTTCCACTGACCAAGTCGGCCTTGTTTGCATACGAAATCATTTAGAAACTCTTCCACGATGAAAGTGAGAGTCTTTCCACTTTCAATTGTTAGAAAATCATCGCAATACCATCTCTCGCGGTACGCCACATGCATTTTTCAGCAGCATTCGAGAAACCTGAGCTTAATCGTCAATCAACTCGAAGTTATATCGCGTATATTTAATTGCGGAACTAAATCATTGTTTTAAACCATCTTTTTTCCTTAATGATTCAAGTAATATTATACAAGTATAATACGAATATAATATATTATATGTAATTTATCATTAATTATTTAATCATTGCACAAGAAGAAAACAATTTGCAATTTGGTTGTATCTGGTTAGCACGGAAGGTTTTGCGGTTCAATAAAGATGCACGTTTCCGCAATTCTGCGGATTATACTAGGCGCTTCTTCATTAATGGGCCACCGTGCGGCACTGGAAAATTCGCGTTATCGTTTCGAAAGTTCGTTCGCTCGAATGAGAGAAACTTTCACTATTAAACGAGCGATAATAATGGCATTGTCAGTGCTAGACACCCGTAATGCGAGAGCAAGAAGCGAGATCATTTTGTTTTTTATTCAAGAAAAATTCTCTTGACTATATATCATATATATTTGTTCCTCAAGTAAAAGTATTTCCAACTTTTTTTCCGAGGAAACCACTGATCCAGCGGCAAATTAGCGCGATTTCCTGATTATGTATCGGAAAAATATAAAAATGAATTCAGCATCATGCGAGCTAGGTAAACAGTTTTAATCCTGCGCGGCGGAATGGATTATCAACGACTTCCGTGTCGCCACGTTCACACAAAATTCGCCAGGTAAAGCATACGCCGGAGAAAGATGAATTATTCAAATGCGATAATTGATGATTAGATAGCTTTAATGCTTGCGGATAAAGATGCGCCAGTAGAATCGCTGTGCGAGGTGAAGATGAAACAATGGCCGGCATAATGCAGCCCGTTTTAAGCAGCTGTTTAGTTACGGCCCAGCACCGAAGAGATACTGATGATAATTCTTATGCCGGCTCCACCATCCGCACGACCGCTCATAATTGAACAAACGGCGCATTACAATTACGTCGGTCTCTCTGCGTGAAAGAGCAGCTTTCACGTTACGCCTCAGCGGCGAAGAAGAATCGATTTGTTCAATTTCGTCAATAAACTGCATGATTATTAACTCATGTACTACAACTTCATTGCTGTTAATTATCTCATACTGAACTAAAGAACTCAATAGCATCGAATTTTATTACAGTAGTCGTATTGTTAATTTGATGGGATAATTTTTTTTTATTGAGAATCGCATAAATAAAATCTTCCTGGAATTAAGAAGAAAAGGATTTTGAAAATGTTAAACTTCGATAATATAAAGCCTTAGGCATTTTGAACTTTTGAATTCACGAGAAACTCGTATAATCAAATACCAAGTAGTTTTTTATTTAAATTTTATTTTTCTCTCTACCAAATAAAAAAAAAAATTAGCGTTAAATTAGTGAAATAGATTTAACGCGACTAATGGTGGACAGAGTTAGATAAAATGTAATTAATGTCTACCAACTGTAATTATACATAATTAACATTCATGATTAATAGAGGATAATGGTTTCCCTTGCTGTTTTTACTCACGATACGACGCTTGGTGGAAGACACGAGCGTGTCTCCCAATCTTTTCCCGATACGAGAGTTTCTCCTTTACCTCATGTTGCTCCTCACTCGTGCGCTACATGTCTACGCACTCATTACAGGCGAGAATAGCGGCTTGTACATGTGCGACAGGAAAATCTCGCGACCGTACGTGTACGGACGTACGTGCCGTACGTACAATATCTCTGAGTACGATCGTTTACCAGACTGTCGCACGAGTTTGAATTCGCGATCATCACTGTACAGAACGAAAGCATGTAATTGCAGTAGTTTGCAGCTCTACGGATATTCGTGGACGATTGTCTAGCCAGTCACAGTCGGACTATCATCTGGGGCAGAAGACGTAGTATGCTCGAGAGGATTCTACCCGTCCAGATACTTATAATCGGCATGCATTCTACCCTCTCGATTATAAACTGCAAATGAAAGTCTTGATTTATCCACGGTTCTCTTTAATCCGGCAAAATCCATAGTGTAGCTATCGATCTATTCAGATATGTTTTAACAAGTATATTACCGCTTAGTGTCGTGTTATTTTTTTTAATGCTTTATAACTAGAATATATGTATAAAAAAAAATTGAATTTGATTGAAAATTAATAGATAATAGATTTAATTAATCGCAACTTTATTGGTGTATCTTGATTTATTGATTTTATTTGTTCGAAGTTGAGATATGTGTCCAATTTATGTCCTAGCAGAATTAAAGCATATTTATATGTGATAATAAAACAAATCATATAAATATAGAAATGTTTCCATGATATAAATAACGCAATATTTGCTACGCTTTTTGAAAAAAATTTCAACGAGATTTTAATATAATCGATTATTAAATTTAATATCGTACATATATTTGAACAGAATGTTGTTTGACTGAACTGTTTTGACATGACATCGTTCGAAAGTCATTAAAAGAGGAATCCTTCAATTTATATCTAATTAACTATAACAGAGCACTGCGTGCAATTATTATAGCATTGACACAGATTAAACTAACGTCTCATATAATAGTATATGCCATTAATTTCATGCATGAACGCAGTTGAGCGTCTTAGGGAGACTCAATATAATTATAGTCGTGATTGCTTTAAGTCCATAATTTTCGAAGTTTTCCTATAATGAAACTACGTTTCAGCACACAAAAAATATTGAATCGATGTATCTTGCGATAATTTCTTGATAATATCTGAGACAGAATTGAGAAAAACAACATTACAACCAAAGTTGTCTATGAGTTTTAACAAGCAAAATTTGTTTAATTGGCCTCCAGGCAACAACATTTCTGGCACCATCATCGTTCGAGTTGGTAACAATCGACCAGACTTAGCAACGAATCCCGTTTGCAATCAATTTACCGGATCTTTAGAGGAAGGACAGCCCCTCTTTTTGCCTTGTAACCCACCGATGCCCGGAGCTTTTGTTTCGGTGCATCTGGAAGTTTCAAAGTTTGCCGATGTTCCCGTACAGTTGTCTTTGTGTGAGGCGTTTGTCTATACCGATCAGGTAAATTTAATAATTGTACAACAACTAGGTCCTTACGTCAGAATGAAAATAAATCTACTTCTTTCTCTTCTACGGATGTGATAATAATTGATTGCATAAAAAATGAATACAGGCCTTGCCAATTGAGAGGTGCCCTCAATTCAGAGACCAACCGCCAGGATCAACGGCAACTTACAACGGCAAATGTTACATATTTTACAATCGCCATCCGTTGATATTCAGGGAAGCTCTGTCATTCTGCCGTACGCGAGGTGGTACTCTCGTAGATGAGAGTAATCCAGCTCTGCAAGGATTCATTTCCTGGGAACTATGGAGGCGACACAGGTACATTCATATTCATATGGCAAATATACATATACAGAAAATCTATGTAGTATATGTAATAAGAAAATTTAAAAAATATCACTAGCAACAGAAATGATATGAAAAAATTCTGAGAACATTTTGAACAATGATACGAACAAATTTTAAACTCTAAATTTTCCAAATAAAATTTAATTGAACAGTTTGAAACATAATTACAAAATATTATATTAACAATTTTGTTTTTAATGTAATGCTCAAATACTGTATATTTTAAATGCATTTAAAATTATAAAATAATTTTTAAATATAGTATTAAAAAAAATCATATTAAAAAATTTTTAAATAATACTTAAATAATCGTCCCTCTTCTCTCTCTTTCTATTTGGAAAATAATATATGAAAATGTTTTTGATCATTAATGAAGGAGCGACACGTCCAATCAGTATTGGATGGGCGCAATTAGAGACCCGAAAGATCGGACGTTATGGAGATGGACCGGAAGTGGTGAGGAGGTGTCTGTTTCGTTCTGGAGTTTACCACAAGGTACTGAAGAAGATTGTGCTCGATACGATGGCAGTAGAGGCTGGCTTTGGTCCGATACACCTTGCTCATCCCGGCTTAATTTCATCTGTCAACATCGTAAGTATCGTCTTACTTGTTATATACTCGCATTCCTACTATTTAAACAATACTCCAGAATAGATACTTCAAATATGACGTATTTAAAATAATATAGGTATTTAGAAGTTTTTTATTTGTGAGACTTTGTGAGAATCTAATATAATACATCGTACACCAATTATTTAAAATTTTTGAAATGAACCGTGAATTTTATTAATATCTATATAAAATTGTTTAATTCATATTCTAACAAAATTTGAAAAACTTTTTTAATTGTTATTTATTGGTCGAATAAATTTTCTTAAGATATAATTCCTCTTAAAGTTCATATATGTTTTTTTTTTAATTCTTATTTAAAGTTTTCAATCTATTTTTGTTGCTTAAATTTAATATTTTTCTGTGCATGCTGTTTTATTAATAAATAACTCTTTTTATTGAACAGAAAAACAAAAATAATTTTGCTTTTTCAGAACCACAAGCTTGTGGCAGACCCGAACAGCCACCAAATTCCACGATGATGGTGATCTCCGATTCGACTGGAACCTCGGGCAATGTTTATGAAGTCGGGGCAACCGTGGAGTACGAGTGTGACAGCGGTAGTCTCCTAGTCGGACCACTAAATCGCACTTGCCTTGACACCGGTTTCTACAACGAGTTTCCACCGGTGTGCAAATGTAAGAAACACGATTGAGAAATTATATTCAAATGAAATTATCGGGAACATTACTCGCTTTGTAACGTGCTCTCATCGTTTCAGATATCAATTGCAACTATCCCGCGAATATAAAATACGGTAGTTACATACTAATCAACGAAACCACTACTTATCTCAGCCAAGTACAGTATACCTGTAATGACGGTTATGAGATGACCGGTAAGTATTACAGTCAATCACGATTCGTCATAATTATTCACGGTGCATTTGAGATAGAGAGTGAATGTCTTGTAAATCATTCGTGAGAAATGATTATAATTCAATCTCTGCAATCGCAGGACGGGCTCGACTAATTTGCGACGTCGACGAACGTTGGAATGGTCCACCGCCACGATGCGAGCCGATTCTCTGCGATCCACCGACTATAGTTGCGCACAGTTCTATTGAGGTAGAGCGTGAAAGTGTCGTGGTGAGGAATACCTTCAATCAAAGTCTATGGGTTAATAGCATCGTCACGTACACATGTGAAAAGGGTTATCGGCTCGTTGGTTCCCGACAAATAACGTGTTTAAGTACTGGATCATACGATCGCGCTGCCCCCACTTGCATAGGTACTTATTTATAGATTTATAATAATAAAAGTCGGAATGTGTATATCTAGAAAGAAATTAGTTTTGAAAAATTATAAAATTAAAATTTTTTTAATTACTGCACAAAAATGGATTCAACGTAGTGATAATTATTTATTAAATTTTACTTATTTGAAATAATAATTACGTTTGATAAATTATATTTTTAACATTTTCATAGAATTTTAAGATAACGAAAATTAAATGTTACGTCAAGTATAATACATAGCTAAAATTATACAATAAATAATATACCTATATATATATATACATATTTACTAAAATTAATTGAAATATTTAGGGAGTAATAAGATGTATTTATGTTATATATTTAATGTGCAAATTTTTCCTTATCAGAGGAATTACGAACAACCTTAAGTTCTCCTACTCGAGCAACAGTACGTCCGTCCACTCCAAAAGTTCGGACGTACCTCACTCCGAGGACCAGGACCACGGCGAGTGCAGCAACCACCAGTACGACTCCTTTACCGTCTCGGAATGTACCAAACACCGCGGAACTCCCAGCGACGGTGAGGGAGACTGTCTCGAGAAGGCCGAGCATCGGCCTAAATAGACCCGCGACTCCTTTGTCGGCGCTGAATGACGCTGGCAGCGATCATCCACAGGACAATGAGATATCCGGAAGTGGCGTAGATCACGCACAAGCGGGAATCGGCGCGGGTATACCGGAACCGTCTGGTCCCTTCCGAGTAGACAGCGCTGAGCAACCCAGCGGCACCCATCAAGCCAAATTGAACTTGGGAGCTGTGATCGCTCTGGGAGTGTTCGGCGGTTTTGTATTCCTCGCCGCCGTGATCACAACAGTCGTTATACTCATACGCAGGTATATTAAAAAAAGAAATTACGCGTCATCAGCCATTTCGAGCGATGATTCGATAATTCGTTTTCGATCGCCAAGACTTCTTCCCTATTTCTGATAATATATCATATATCATATAACGCACTTTGATATACATAGATGATATTCGATCGGATTGTACATTGTAACGCTTACTTTGTATTAATTTGATCTAATTTCTGTCTTCTACCGCTTTGTCTTTTTTTCTAACTTATAATACATATACATATATGCTGCATTGTAATCTTTTTTCGTACAAGATAATTTTGCTTATTGAAAATGTACATGTTTCTTAGAGTCTTGTAACAAAAGAGCCTCTAACATCTTACGTAGAATTAAGAATATACAATAGTACTACCGTCCTTTCATTGATCAAGCTTTTTGTAATTTAGCCTGTAATTTACCTTAAATGTAGCCTTATATTATGCTTTGCAAAAAAGATACATTCTCATTTTCTAATTGATCTATAATAATTTTCTTTAATTTGTTGTCGTTTATTAACCAATGGTTCTCAACGTGAGTCATGCGGCTACTTAAAGGTTTATGGCATTCTTTTCACATGTAAAAAAAAATGGAACATCATCAGGGGTCATAGTAAATGAGTCAAAATCATAGATATTTTTTTATGGAGTTGAAGTGAAGATAACTGCAAATGCAAATAAAAGTGACGTGGCCGAAATAAAGTTGAGAAACAGTGGTGTAGACGCGTCGCAAGACCTAACATAAGATATAGCATCAGAGAAACGCGTGAGTCTCGTTGATAGTCTAGTCCATCACGATGATAATTAACACAGTCCATTTGTGTATTGTGGTGGTTAGCGGCAGTGGCAGCGTCAGAGGAAGGCGCCGCAGGGGGCTCGGTGGGGTTGGTGCGCTGAGGGGTGGCGGTAGTGGTGGCCTTGGGAGGGGCGACACCGGAATGCCCTCGCGTTGGTATACGCTACTCGCGCTGCCCTTCCCCGACCAGCACCTGGGGCGCCGCGACCTCACGGCACGTCGCGGTAGCGATCATCCTTACTCTTTCACTCTGTCAGCGGCGCATCGCGCCGGTTACTTCTCGAATCCCTCTCTGTAGACCTCCATCGCCACTCCTCTTTCTCACTCCCGCCGTAATAAGAGCAAGGGAAAAGAAAAAGAGAATCGTTCCATTCTAAAAAAAGCCTACAACCACCACTACCACCCCAACTCTCCACGCAACCACCGCCCACCACATCAATCATCATCACGTACCACCACCAACTACCACGCGCCACCCTCGCGAGTGATACTAGTCAAGGTAAACGAGAGCAAGGTTTTACTGAGCACCTTCTTTAGCGTTAGCTCGTTTTGCCGTCACACTACGCAAAGTAGAAGATGATTATAGTGCGTTGCACGCACCCGAACACACCAACACCCTGTTATATCAAATAAATCTCTCCGTCGTGTATTCAAGGATTCTAGAAAGTGGTCGTATATCCTGAGCACAAAAAATATCTAAAAAAAAGACTAACAGACGTCTATAAATTAATGTTATTAACATGGTTTATGTTTTCTGGGATCATTTTCTCTCTTCATTTTACTTCATTATTGTAAGATGAGACGAGAAATCGGCTTTAGTAGGCACGACTACGGTCTAGAAATCCTGAGTATCGCACTACACAGAAATCACGACGAAAGGTAATTATGTATAGTGCTTTTTATGTGTTCTTTTCATGCCTGCGATACTTTATGTTGTAATTTCTTTAAGTGCAATTTCTTAAGATTACATTAGTAAGCTATAATTAGACAAATACATGATATATATACAACATATAAATAATATCAAGTAGTATATATAAATCTTTCAGTATTTTAGAACTATTTCTCAGACATCTGAGTTCTCTTTCTTCTAACTCTTTCTTCATTTCGATTGTCAGTGGCTTGAAAATCACTTTGGGTCGTAATAACAGGATGGGCTCTCTTGCATTTAATTTTAAGATATACATACAACGATTAGATTTGTTATTTCATCTTTTATTCACTAAAAGCGTACAAAATACACATGAACAATCCGACCCAACTCTTCTTTCATTGCACGTAACGCTTAAAATTGCCTATTTGTTTCATTTTTTTAATGAAAATAGTTTAGTGGTATGTAATTGATGATATTAAATATCATGGAATGAAAGAGTTATTATTCCGTTACATTTTTGTAATAAAAATTTGATAATGACGTTGCAATTTTTGTGACTATAATGATAACTAACTAAATATTAAGATTGCGCTAATAAGATTGGGAAAGTTACTTTGAAAGTAACTTGAATTATTATGCGTTTACTTACTGAAAAAAAATTTGTAACGAGTAATAAATTTGTAAGGAGTAAAAAAAACATTACCCACGTAATCTCGTTACATGTAACGATTAAAAAGTAAGGAGTTACAAATGCCGAACTTTTCTAGTAACAAGTGATTTCCAATTCGTTACAAGTAACGTTTCAGTGACCTTTCAAACCTAATGTTATCGTTACAGTCATAAAATAATTTATCATTACCAAATACTATAACAGAGTAACGATAAAGAAAGTAACAGTGTTATAAGTGTAATATATTATAGTTCCATTCCCTACTTATAAAATTATGTGATACTCAACACATTTGAAATGAAAAAGTCATTAACATGTTCATCCTTTATGTAGAAATCGCGGAAGAAGCAGCAAACATTATCGTCACCGTGCATCGCCCGATTGCAACACTGTCGCCAGTTTCGATAGCAGTTCCTCGGAGAGTCGAGGAGGTCTGAATAGATATTATCGCCAAGCCTGGGAAAATCTGCACGAAACCACCGGTCACAAGTCTGGTCATCCACCACTTCGTCGCAAGGAGACCCTAGATGAACCAGGATACCGAGAGAACTTCCGTGGTAATAACACTGAACGCGACGGCTCGGAATTAGTTGTTAGCGACGTCGCTGCATATCCATCAAGCAAACACGCCAGTGTCTCCGATAAGAAGCGTCATCATCATCACCATCATCATCATCATGGAAGCGCAACGCCTGAATGGAGACAGTCGCAATCCCATCATAGATATTAAACAGAGAGCAAAATGGGAAAAATCTTTATACTTACTATGTTATCATCTGCAATTATCTGGACGATGATTTGTAGAGTATTCGTAGTGAACGTTGATAACTGTCACGAGTTGAAAGATCTTCCTTAAATGAGGGAGCACAGCAAATCTTCCGCTAGCACATAAGTAGTACCCAGATATTGTCTTACAAGAAACAGAGATGGATAATAATCCGAATAGATCCTACATGTATTATTCTGTTACGTTATAAATCATTTACCGTTATTATGTTACAGAATGTAAATATTATGCACTATAGCTTAAAAATAAGAATGCAGATGCAGAGATAGTCGTTCGTCGTAAGAAAGGTAGTAGAAGCTGGTCAGAGGATATGCCAAAAAGCAAAAAAATATTATATAAAGACGATCAAATAGAGATGCAAGTAACATTGTTACGTTTAACAATAAGTTATTCTAAGATCAAGGATTTACGTAATCATTTACATAAAAATACTTGTCTAAGAGAGCGTCACACTTGACACTAACAACGCTTACGGAATTATTCCATCTTTGTTGTTTATCAAACGTTAAATTAGGACAAATAATGCTTGCGAGCGTTGCGAGCGCCAAATGAAACACAGCCTAAGAAGACGCCGGATATCGGCAGAATGTACCTACATCTGTTATGGGTACCTTGGCCTCGCTTTAAATGGATTACTATATGTTTCCCAAAAACGGAATATAGATATCATTAAGCGAAGGCCGATGTTATCCATTTAGGAATAGGACAAATATCGTGTTGTGCACGTGTACAAGTTGCATATTTACTTACGCGCAAGTAAATGAGAATTCAAAGGCACACTACGGTTATGAAAATGAGTGCCTCGTTCGCTGTTATATCTTCAAAATATTCTACTACCGAGTTTGTATTATAAGTATGTAACATTAATTATAATTAATACTTACTAAACGTTTCTATCCAGCTCGTTCAAATTTACGTGTATTTAAGAAATAACGTAATGTTATACAGCAATAAGTTCTTATTAATTGACTGAGAGAATTATAATAATACTTGTAAAGTGACATTGTTGTTGTGTGTTTATGTGATTCTATTTATTGTAATAAATTACAATAGTGCCATTTGAGGCAAATTTGTTTAATTTGTTGAAGAAGCAATTTTGTCATTCAAACATGGTACATTATATGTATATCGTAAATTTTATATATTATATATATATATATATAAGGATTATTAGACTTAAAATTTCACATTTATATGAAATTACAATAAACGTATTTATATGAATATATATAAATGATCTTTTATTCTTGAAAAAGGATATAATAAAAAAGATATAATTATATGCTATGTGTAAAATGCATTTGTTAGAAATTTGGAATATTAATAATACAGGCCGACATGAATTTTGACTCAGAAACGGCAGTATATCGAGGTCATCGAAATGTTCCTTAAAAATTATAATTACCAAAAAATAATTTTTGTGTAAGCCTGTGTAATTGTTCGAAATAATTTGAAAAATTGGCATTATTTAATGGCTAAAATATTTATGGTGTGATTTATTTCTATAGAAAGTTTAATTTTGTAGCCATTGCTTGATTAAACCTTTTACTTGTTCTCTTGCCTCCTTTAGTTGAGGTATATCACGTTCTGACGAAGGATACATATTTGCACAATGTGCAGTACCTTCAAATAAATGATGTATTTATATTAGGAGAATTAATATAAATAATAAAACATCTATAATATATGTAACTTACCATTGATGTAAATGGCAGACTCTTGTGGATTAGAAGATTGTGTGATGCCCAGCACATGCCAAGGATCGACAGAACCATGTACAAATACTACATTTGTCGCTTGTAAATTTAATGCACCATATAAGATATTTGTTCGTATGACTGTAGATTTCAATAAGTTCATATTGTACCTGAAAAAGAGCTTTTATGTACATTAACATTCTTTCGTAGTTGAAATATAATTTTACTGAAAACAAACCTAGGCCCGAAAATATCGACGCATTGCTGTGCAAAAAATTCCACTGGAAAATTATTTCCAAACACATTAGTCTGTCCGGTAGAGGTTTGGTAGAATCCGAACTCCGTACAAGTCTGGTACATCCATTGACGTGCTGCAAGTATCATTTATAATTTGCTATTAACAGGCCACCATAATAAATTAATTAAGATAATAAATATATAATGCAATATTAATTTCAATGCATTACCTCCTTCTGCTTGTTCGCTAGCCCAGCTGATGTTTCGAAGTTCATGAATCATTTTATTATATCTATAATCTAAACACTTTTCTTTAGTAGCATTCAATATTATATTGTTTACATAAGCAAGCCTATCAATAGGCTTTCCTATTTTCTCATCTACTAATATATCACATACAGTTTCAATAGTGATATTAACGGTTGGAGAGCTTTGGCGATTGTCATTATTATATTGTACAATGAGAGCAAAGTTACTAGCTAATGTTCCATATAAGTTGAAAATATCTACTTTTTTTGTATAACCAGGATCAATTGGATCGCATAGTCTGTAAAACATAATTTATAAGAAACCACAAGCATACCTCGATCAATAATTCTGTATCTTGACAAATATACTCACTTAAATTTTTTCTGTATTTGCTGTTGACTAACAGTATGGTGTAACATTATATTGAGTTGCGAGTTAGCCTCTTGTATTGTGTTGACACATTTATCAGAGTATGTTTTCAAAGAGTTTATAACAACATTAAAATATTCTGTAATAAAAAATTATTTGTATACATATATGGCATACTTGTTAAAATGTACCATCTACAATTACACTACCATAAAAATCAATCTGTGCTAGCAGTGGTCCACTAGTAGACACAGCTCCATGTACCAAGTGAGGATATTTGGCGCGCATCCAAGCGGCGAGAGATCCAGAATATGATCCTCCAAATGCAATCCACTTTGTATCGTTTGGGAATTTATATGCAACATTAACACTCGCGATAAAGTACGCTAAATCTGCTAATGCCTGTTCCGAACTCAGATACATTAAGTTCTTTACGCTAAGATCCCTGCAAATATTCGTAACATGTAATGGATATTTGTAAACTAACTTCGGATCTTCTTTTGCATTTATATATATTTTTCTATAACATACGCAGTAGGATGGCTTTTTCCATAAAAACGATGTTCTACATAGAAACACATTGCTCCTAATTCTTTGGCATACTCAATCCAATCACCTGATACCATCCATGTCGTACTTGCCGAACTTTCACCTCCAATCAATAAAAATATTGGACCATTGCTTTTATAAAATTCAGTATTAACGAAGTACCTCTGTAAAATAATAACAAATTATACTTAATAGTATAAATAATATAAACAAAATTTAAAATGATAATACAATTTTTCTAGAGAAATAATGAAATATATAATGCACAATCAAAATTCTATGTGTGTGTCTTGCATTACTTGATTCCAAACATTAACATCAATTGGGTTGAAGTGATCCAGGTACTGCGTAAACCATTGCTCTTCAGAAGGCGATGTTTTAGAAAGCGAAATTGGATCTCTTAAATTGCCTCCTTTACTACGACCTCTCAAGAAAAGACGCCATGCCGTAGTAATACTTGAGATACTCAATACAGTAATTAATAGTAACGGTATAAGAAAGAGAAACCGCATTTTAAAATATAGTTAAATTATTTTTTCTTTTTCCTTAAAAACAGCTCTGTAAAAAAAGATATGTATATATTTTAAAAGGATTTATATCAGAATTAATTAGCAATTATATATTATACAACTATACAAACAGATGAGATACTTTTTCTACATGGTACTTTTATCTTTTATTTGATAAGGACAACAAAGTTACCTTGTTACAGTCATTATTCATGCAAGATGTATTTATGGCTGTATTCGTACTCCGTTTTTATTTTAAGAACGTCTTATCTAATTTAAGATGCTAATACAGCTTAAGATTTGGTTATCTTAAGATTTAAGATGCTAAAATATGGCTTTATGTTTAGCTTATGACTTCTTTAAATTGTACTTTAGACGGTATATTAAATATATGAAGTTATAAAAATACCAGAGCCTATATATATATATTTATTATAAAAATAAAAGTCATTTTTAAATTTCTAAGAGTAACTACTAAAATTTGGCTCTTATCACATTGTCTAATAATGGACTATTTTATAAATTGTACTTTGATACAATATTATAAGAAACTATAATTACACACTATAAGACGATTTACTAAGGTTTTATTATATGGACTATAACTTGCACCGAAATTAATATATTGTCAACCATGCGAGTGAAAGCATATACTTATTATTATTTTATATATATTAATTTTTATATTTTTAATTTTATAATTCCGTACATTACCGCGGCGTTTTGTTTTAACAAAACTTGCGATTATTATTTCTGTAATATTGATAATGACTTAATAGAGGTTGAAACGTTTGTTGTCTAATTAAACTATGCAATTATTTTAACTAAATGACAATCTTTATTTACTAACAATTTTATATTTTAATGAATTTTTGGCTCGTAGCCCTTTTTTCTTTTGCATTATTTTTAAAAATAAATTTATATTTTACCTTTCTGTTTAGGTTAAACATAGACTTTACACTTGGCAATTACGTACGATATCGGCGTTCTTATTTCTGAAATTCTTTAGTTGAAATTTTATTAGATATATGATAATACGAAATAAGACTGATAATGGTGACATGAATAAAAAAAAAAGAAAGATATTTGTAGCAATTGAATTTAACTTGAGAAAAATGATCTGCTGTTTGCAATTACATCTCCTATTATTTTTATCTCTTTCCTTTTTCTTTCTACGGCATTTCATTATATATCTGTCTTCGTTTGGAGGTAGGTATATGTAACGTGGTGCAGCTACTGAGCAAAATGCATTTAATGCAACCTTCCTTGTCAACAGTGGAGAAATATAGGCGGAATGTAAAAATTTATTCATACTTTTCCCCTTTTGAAATTTTCTTATTAGGAAATTTATCAACACATATATATATATATATATATATATTCTGTTAAATCTGTACTTTTGCGTTGATCGTAATCTTTTTTGTAAAATTTTACTTACCGGTCAAAATTGTTGACAAATTTTTATTAATTACTCCATTATTAATAACAAATTATTAATCGTCTTTTGTTTCATATTTATTTTAATTTACTATATAATTTTATCTTATTAAAAAATTTTTATTTTTAGAAAATACGCGGTTTTTGTTCTGCATTAAAATAAATGTAAGTACAATGCAATAATACGTTTATACATCTCTTGTATGCAATCGAACGTTCGACTTTATTCAATTCTTCTCTGTTATGTACAAAAAAACGTCGCTTCGGGAATAGCGTCAGCGAGAGAATTATGAAAATTAAAATATTCGTATCGATACGAGCGTATCGATAGGCAGTCTCGTGAGCAACTTGGAATAACCATGTGATCACATGTCCGACATGAATCGACCTGTGGCCAGGCATTGTCGTAGGAGTAGAATGTTTTGCTAGTGCATCTGAGAAGATCGCGTGTTTTTCTGAAAATCACGACTAGAATCAGTGGCTCAATTAATGGAATGCGTGATAACGCGGTGCGAAAAGATTGGGTTCTCTCGGCAGAGACACAAATTCCGTACGTTCGCTGCTGCGAATGCCAAATAGTTTTTATCTCGTGACCGATTAAATATTTATCATCACTCCAAACAACGAACAAGGCGTTTGATCAGCCGCTGCCGACAAAGTTCCTCAGCACGGTATAAATGCCGCTTGTAATCTCGCTTAGAACTCAGAAATCTTCGGATGAGTTCGAGTGAGTACGAAAACAGTTTCCTCAGAGAGTTTCCTGCTAATTTCTTATTTTTTACTTTACTCGTATGATTATTCATAATATTCTTCATTTAATATCATAGTTTGTTCTAATTGTAACTGTTTGAATTTGTTTTACAGATTAGTGCGATTACGCTGTGCGTAATTAGACAACATGAAGTTTGCAGAGCATTTGTCAGCCCATATTACGCCCGAGTGGCGTAAACAGTACATTAGTTATGAGGTATAATATTGAGTTCAAACATTTAAATTATGCTCTATTATGCAAGAATAATATGGGATTTTAACAAACTTTAAGTTTTAAATATAATTACATATAGATGTGTACTTTCAAACATTATCTTCCTGATCTTACAGGAAATGAAAGCAATGCTTTACGCGGCGGTAGAGGAAGCGCCTTCAGATGAAAGTGTAGAACCAGAAGTGATATCACGTCACTTTGCGTCTTTTGACGAGGTGTTTTTTACATTCTGTGATCGTGAATTAAAGAAGATTAATACATTTTACTCAGGTGAGAGTATTTCTGACACTAAAATGTAATTTTTCTGTAAAAGCGATGTTATTTGTTAACCCAGTAATCGAAAATAGAATTGAAATTTTTATGTGTAGGTATTTTATAAGCTCATTGAATCCAATCAAATAAAAAACTTTTTTAGTCTTGTTTTTGTGATAAGGCTCAATAAGTTTTTAAAAACTAATATAAAGAGACAAGGGCAATGAGTTAATAAATTCGTTAAAAATTTTTAAATTAATCTAATATATTGTGAAGAATATCACGTAATTATGGCGTTTCGTCCCAGCTTCCATTACTGGACTCATCAGTAAGGCATTGTAGTGGAAGCCTACCTTATATGCCTGAGGAAGTTATTCAATCGAGATTCTATATGAAGAGATATACATGTATCAAAGCACTTGCGAGAATTGCAAATATCGAATTTAACGAATTTATTGGTTTATTGCCCTTTTCTCTTTATATTATTTTTTAGTCCTATTCTCTTTTTATCTTCTTTTTTTTCTTAGTTTTATCTATTTAGTTTTCTTATTATTCTGTTCATCAAATCCAATTAAAGAAAAAAAAAAAACAATTAGATTTTCTCAACTAGATTCAATTGCATTGGAAATTGCATCTGTTATTCAGAATTTTAAATTGAGAATTTTAAATTGATTTAATATTATTTTTATATTGAAAGGCATATATGTGTTTTATATAATTCTTATGAAAATCAAAATGCATTCAAATTTATAAAGGATTTATTTTAATGTTCGCGAATGTATTTCTGCAAAAAAAAATCTGAATTTATTTCAATCCATTTTAATCCATTCTCGTTTTCTGGGCATTTATTGCAGAAAAATTAGCGGAGGCTACACGTAAATATGCTGCTTTACAAAGTGAATTAAAGACTGCAGTAGAGTTGCAACAGGGAAGTGGGAAGAACAAAGGAAAAATCAGCGCGAAGCCGCTTTTGCCTACCAGAAAGCTTAGGGATCTAAAACTTGCATTTTCAGAATTTTATCTGTCACTAATCCTTCTTCAAAATTATCAGAATCTTAATCATACTGGATTTCGCAAAATTCTCAAAAAACACGACAAGGTATCTTATTCCATTAGTGATATTATCATGCTTTTTGTCATTTTTTCGCCTATTAGCTTGTGTAATTTCAGAGGCTTCAATTATCCCAATATTATTAGTATCATGTCTTTCCTCTCGTAGTTACAAAATATTGAGAGTTGCAAGAAAGAACTGCTATGTGTGATACCATACCTATATTTCCTGTGTATATCCAAGTAAAAACCAGTAATTGTTCTTGATATTTTATATTATTTAATTATACAGTAATTTTTAATTCCTACAACACATTGTCAAATGCTTCTAGTTATTGTCAGTTGACGCCGGTACAAAATGGAGAGTCGAGTGCGTGGAAACGTCACACTTCTACACGTCCAAAGATATAGACAAATTGATTCAGGAAACAGAAGCCACAGTGACGAACGATCTCGAGGGTGGCGATCGGCAACGCGCTATGAAACGTCTTCGGGTGCCACCGCTTGGCGAGCATCAGAGCCCATGGACTACTTTCAAAGTTGGCTTATTCTCTGGTAGCTTTATTGTCCTATGTGTTGCAGTTATTCTCTCAGGTATTGTTGGAATGCTTATCCGTTAAAAGTTACGACGTATTCGCAGCTGTGCTACTTACAACCAGTAGAATGTTGTAAGAGATTTTAAATATAATTAACTGAGTAAATGTGATTTTTAATAAAAAAAATGTTTATCTCTGCGTACTCTTGGTTCATTGGCAGTTTAATTTGTTGAAGTACACGCGAATCCTTCTTGTTTATATTATTTGTATTATTTAAAATCTCGTTACTTTCAGCCATCTTCCACGACAGCGGGGAGAATCTTAAGATCGCATTTAGACTATACCGAGGTCCCTTCCTTATTGTTGAATTTTTATTCCTTATCGGGATTAACGTTTATGGATGGAGATCGTCTGGCGTTAATCATGTTTTGATATTTGAACTGGATCCACGAAATCATCTTTCGGAGCAACATCTCATGGAATTGGCTGCAATCCTCGGAGTAGTCTGGACGCTTAGCTTACTAAGTTTCTTATACAGTGCCAGTTTAAGTATTCCACCATACGTGAATCCATTAGTACTTGTCTGTATCATGCTGATTTTTCTATTAAATCCGGTTAAGATGTTCCGTCACGAAGCTCGTTTCTGGCTGTTAAAGATCATAGTAAGTATAATTTGTGCAATATTTCACTTGTGCAGTATTTCGTATGAATAAAAAAAGTGAATCTTTCTTATTTTAGGGGCGTGTTTTAATATCACCATTCGCGTATGTCAATTTTGCCGATTTCTGGTTGGCGGACCAGTTCAACAGTTTGGCGACTGCATTCTTGGACTTTCATTTTTTAATATGCTTTTATATTACGAATGGCGATTGGTTGAAGGCAAACGATACTACGCAATGCATGTCTGGCTCTCTCATTATTAGGCCTATTGTGAATTGCTTACCGGCGTGGTTTCGGTTTGCACAGTGCGTTCGCAGATATAGAGATTCTAAAGAAGCGTTTCCACATTTAGTGAATGCTGGAAAGTATTCCACAACGTTTCTCGTTGTTGCAGCCAACACTTTATACGCTTATCACGGAGGTAGGTTAATTTATATAAACCAAAAGTGGTTTTTTTTATAATTAAGTTTCCAACATCTCAAAAATGATTAAGAGATAATACGCTTTTTCAGTGGAATATAATAATAAATGGGAGAATCCATGGTTATGGCTATGGGTGTGTAGCTGCCTTATTAATTCAATATATTCATATACATGGGATCTCAAGATGGATTGGGGCCTTTTAGATAGTAATGCTGGTGAAAATCGTTTTCTAAGGGAGGAAGTAGTTTATTCGACAGCCGTAAGTAAAATAACAAATAACATTGTTCAGTTACAAAAAGAGATATATTATAAACAATAAGAGAAGGCATTGAACCACAATCACTTAATTATATTAGTAGATAATATGTTAATTTATTAATTTAATATAATATTAGTATATAAACGTTTCAGCCTTGATTAGGCCATCTTCAGTACATTATCACAAAGGAGATACTCGCAATTATAATTTTTTAATATTCCGCAAGTCTATTACAATTGTAAAGTCAGTTATTAAAAACAGTTTTTTGTTAAATGAAAATCTTGTTATGGCCTATTCCGTGTGAAGTGGATTAATCATTTCTTAGAATTTTTTTTTAATTTTGCACAGTACTCTGGGAGATAAAATCTTGTGCCAAAGAATTTTTTTTAATTGCAAAATTGATCGAGATATAAACAATGAAAAACTAAACTACTTTATTGTGTAAAGATTTTTATCTCTCTCTCTCTCTTTCCCCGCATCGAGAACTAAACATTTTTTTTTTTTTTTCGAAAACGAGACAAACCACGTTGTTGAATTTTTTTTCTAAGATGTAGGAAAATTAAAAGTATGTAAAAAATATTTTTCTAGATTTTTCGACTCTCTCCTCGATTGTTAAAAAATTTGTTAAAAAGTTTATTGTTAGATAAACAGTAAAAAACGAAATTTTTTCGGAATATTAATATTTTTCCTTAAACCAGATCATTCTTAGTGTGAATAAAAAAAAACGAAGTCAGCTAACATTATTAGTAACAGAGATATAAATCTTTGCAGAATAGAGTAGTTTAATTTTTAATTGTTTATATTTCGATCAATTTTGCAATAAAAAAAATCCTTTGACACAAAATTCTATTTTCCAGAGCACTATCTATGTGCAAAATTAAAAAAATTTCTGAGAAATGATTGATCCGCTTTACGCGGAATAACCCTTGTACACGTTTTGGGTGATTTTTTTGACACAAAAGTTTTCAAACTTTATTATAAGATTATATGATGACTTAAATTATTGATTGACATGAGAATTTATAGCTTAATTTATGGATTAATTTAAATTGTTTTTCATACCTGTATCTGAATAGAAGAAGTAGAATTTTGAATAATTTTACTATTTATAGATGTACTGCTCACACAGTACCTTATGAATTTTGTCTGTTCACATCCAGAGAGATATCTTTATATACCTGTTCTGTTACTAAGTATTATCTAAGTTTGGGTAAGGGGAATTTAGGAAAGTAGTGGAAGAGGTGATGTTCAAGAAAGGAAGTATGTATCTGGTAATAAATTATACTAGATAAAATGGAACAAAACAATGTTATAAAATAAGCTGTCTCGATTGCGACTCCTCTTATCTGGATCAAACAAAAAGGAAATTAAATACCAAAATACATAAGAAAGAATACATAAAAAAAAATTCAACGAATATGCATTCAGTAGCGTCAAGCCATCAACATAACTATGAACACGAACTGAACTGGAGTAATGTTCGGATATTCGACTCAGAGTCTAAGTCTGAATCTGGGTCTGAATCTAATATTCAAATGTTACTCCAGTTCAATTCGTGTTCATAGTTATATTGATGGCTTGATACTACTGAATGTATATTCGTTGATTTTTTTAAAGTCGTATGTCCTTGTATTCTGGTATCTAATTTCTTTTTTGTTTGACCCAGATAAGAGAATTCGTAATCAAGACAGCTTATTTTATACACAACGTTGTCTCGTTATTTTTATCTAATTTATTACCGGATACATACCTTCCTCTCTTGAACATCATCTTTCCCACTACTTTTCTCTAAATTCCCCTTACCCAAACTTAGATAATATTCAGTAACAAGTATATAAATATATTTCTTTGAATGTAAGGCCAGACAAAATTCGTAAGGTACTGTTGTGTGCAATACATCTCTGTAAGTAGTAAAATTATTCAAAATTCTACGGGTTCCTATTTAGACATAGATATGAAAAACAATTTAAAAAACGTATACTCCCTCCGTTGTTTTTGTTAACCTTCGGTTAGCAGCAGTCGGGAGTAATTAGCTCATAAATTAATCTATAAATTCTTATGTCAATCAATAATTTAAATCATAATCTTGCAATAGAGCTTGGAAACTGTTGGGTTGAAAAAATCACCCGGAACATGTATAACAAGATTTTCATTTAACAAAAAACTGTTTTTAATAACTGACTTTACAATTGTAATAGACTGCGAAATATTAATATAAAATAAATTGTAATTGCGAATATCTCCCTTTGTGATAATGTGACTGAAGATGACTTAATCGAGACTGAAACGTTTACATATTAATATTATTAAATTAATAAATTAACTTTAAAAAATAAATTAACTTAAATATGATCCACTAATATAATTAAGCGATTGTGGTTCAATGTCCCTCTTATTATTGTTTTTAATTTTATAGCCACTTAAGTCATTTTGGTTGTGGAGATATTATATATTATACGTGTGTTTTAGTGGTTTTATTATTTCGCAATAATAGAAGATTTTATACTACGATTTATATGGATTGCGAGTTTTATTCTCATCGAATGCGGGTTTATTTCTGGGGACTTAATGACTTCCATTGTAGCACCTCTTGAAGTTTTTAGGTGAGTACGTTTTTCGCCGTTGTTCGAGCTTATTGAAAATTTTATTGTACTTTTACTACTTCTAATTACAAAACTATTTTTAGACGATTTGTGTGGAACTTTTTCCGTTTAGAGAATGAACATTTGAATAATTGCGGTAGATTCCGCGCTGTACGTGATATTTCGATAGCACCTATAGAAAGCTCCGATCAAACGCAAATTTTACGTATGATGGATGATGAGAACGGTGTACTTAATAGAGGTAAACGTAAAAGCGGCGGTAAAAAGCAGAGCAATTCAAAAGAAGAAAAACGAGCTCTGCTTAAGGAAGAAACTATAGATATCGATATGTCAAATGCCAGTTGAATATATATTATATAATAGTTCAAGATTTTTGTACAATCATCTTTAATGACTTCTATGGACGAAAAGCCTCCAAAGTCTGGTACTTAGAGAAAATAATTCGCAAAATTTTGTAAATGATACATATCGATTTTGTTGGAAGATAAATAATTAGCATATGCTTTAGAACCAGTAGATTAGAAAACTAAAATTATCATAGTATGTATCATAGTGCCTTTCGCGCTTCTCTCATATGAGATACTTTTTACAATAAATTATAATAATCCAATAAATAGCTTGCACCGAGAGTCTTCCAACATAAGAACAAACAATATAGCTTAAATAAATAACTTCACGAATTTTCTAGCTTTTAGACACAACATAGAAAGGTGTAACATGTAAATATGAAGTGTGTGCTTTTGTATACGAGCTTTACAAGTTGTTAATGAGTAAGGTCATTTTGCCTGCCATTTTAGATGCTATTATATACTGTGATTTTATTTGCTGTATTGTTATCAATATTTTTTCTAAAAATGCCATTTTTTAATAGATAATCGATGCCCTAAGTAACAATTTTTTAAATGAAAGTAGAGAGAAAAGAAATATTGATACAAAATAGTCTAATGTTATTATACTACGCTCATAACAGAAGTGATACTAAACATGTATTAATACTAGGGAGGCTGTTATGTGCTTTTTTTATACATATATTAAACATAATTACTGTACTTATGTTATATATGTATAATAGTTATGTTAGCCTAAATATGTAAATTATTTTCTAGTAGTAAAAAGAGTAGAATATCGAATTTGTAAAATAGATGTTTAATTTACTAATGCTCTGTATCATTTGGACAGTAGTGTTTTGTATATAAAATAGAGTATTAAAATTATCCAACTGTTTTATATTGTAAGATAATATTCTATACATCACATTAATTTTAAAGAAGTAGCAACAGTACATTTTCTTTTGTTATAAGGATTATTTAATGTTTTCGATATTATTGTTACATACTTAAAGAAACATCTGCTCAATAAGATGACAAAAATTAATAATTGTTATATTTTACTTATTATTTCAAATTGTATTGTATTTATATCTTATCTGTCACTAATTATTTATACAGGTGTAATACGAAATAAGTTAATAATAAAACTTTAAATAGACTGTACACACACACACATATAAAGCAGCATGTGTGGAATCTAAGATACAGTAATTTTAATGCATTGAAATAACAAAACTAAAATGTTTTAAAAGTATACTTAACACACATTATTTTAACAAAGCAGTGCTTATATTTGTAAAACACATTTTGATTGCATATGTTTATTTGCTAATTAAAATAGATAGTAATCTAAGATATCTTTCTAATTAAAATTTTTCTGTTGGAATGGAAAATTTTTATTTATATACATTTAAATTTTATATATTTATAAATATAAACTGTTTTTATATTAAGTTACATATTTATTTCATTTACTCATAAAATTTATTTATAATTAGTTATATAAATGATAGTATCAATGCGTTTAGAAATATAAATTTGACATATTAGACTTTGTATTCCAATAAATTTGACGATTTTATATAAATATTTTCCTATATAAATAATCAGGATCACAATTGCCAGGAATATAAACATTAATAATATAAATAAACGTTAAGTATTTTTATATTCTATATACAATAAAATTTCTGATATTAAAGTATCTAGGTACAAGTTTATACAAGATATTACTGCTGTGTGATAATTTCTTAAGTCAGACTATGTATGTACATAATTTCGAATATTGCAATACACTGATTATACTTTACATTATAATAAAATGTTTATATAATATATATATATATTGTTATATTCTAATCACAGAAATAATACATTTAACAGTAAAGTAAGAAAAATAATATTTCAACAATTAACTTACATTTTTTTAATTTTCATGTTTAGATTTGTAGATCTTGTGCCGTAGGATAGCGAACAAGCTTAGCTTCAGTAGAGCAAATAGTATTTACGACGATGTTACGTAATAAGATAACGTATAATAACGGTAGCAATTGCTTCCTTTTCTTTGTTCTTCCGTTCTCTGAGAACGACGGATCGTTGAAACAGCTACTTCGCGAATTTTTATACTAACTTATATTGGTTATTTTATATGCAATCAGCTGTTAAATATAAAAAACCGGTATCATATTCTTAAATACATAATCTATATTTATTTATATCTCTGTTTAATTATCACTTTATTCATTTATAAACACATAAATTTATTATTTATTAAAAATTATAATTGAAATTTATACAACTACGCTATTACATACATTTATAATGAATTAAACCAAATGTGTATTATAAATTGCATTTAGAAATTATCATATCATGAAATATTACAGAATTTTTGATTTATTAACATAAATTCGTTCATTTGAATTTATTTAATAATTAAGAATTGTTGCTTTACTGAGAAACAACATCAACGAAAGGATAATTAAAGCAAGTCGAAGGAAACAGAAGATTAAAATTCATGTTAATTGTTCAGCTTAATCGACAATTTTAATAAAATGATCCTTATCGTTACATAACATTACGTGTCAGACACAATGACACACATAATAATATATATTATTAACTATAGTAATAATTTGATGATGTAACAATTAATGAATGGAACGATGATCAACGTGTCATCATAATGTACGATAACAATCGAACGCAATAGTAATTATAAGGAAGTGAACATATAATAAAATATACTGTATGTACAATTTGTCGGGCGCATCGACAACAATCGGCGCATGATTCCTTCTATCGATTAAAACAACAAACTTACATTAGCAGACACGCTGGATCCCCTTAGCTATCTAAGGATAAATGTATAACAACCGCGTTCATACGTGTCCAAACGTATAGGCAAGCGCTTTTTAACGCTTTGTAAGCGTGGTGTGCTACTTGGGATTCAAAACCATCCTTTTCTTTCTGTCACTCCTCCATACGTTCCTTGTACTTAAAACAAAATAAGTATATGCTCACGTGCTTTGAGGAGACATAAGAGAACGACTGTGGAGCGAGTTTAAAAGAGATTTAATGAAAGAAAAGGAGTATAGTAACAATATATCTAGGATTGCACTTTTTCGACGCGTATGAACGTAGTTAAATAAAAATAACAGAAAACAAAATGTTCAAAAAAACTTGCTCGATATGTGATGCAACGTCTAATTGCTCTTTCTTGTTCGCACAATTATGTGCCAGCGTAATACTAATTGTATATTTACAAATCTCAAATAAGAGCAAAAAGAACGTAAAACCGGAATGGTCCCAGTATGGTTGGCCCGAACCGATGAAATCTTTTCTCTCCGCAGATCTTCTAAACAGATATGTATATATTTATATATATACATATCTCTTCCTCTAAATATACTTCTCACAATCAGTAAATTCTAGGAAGTCTAATCTCGCAGGCTATATGTATATATATATATATGTTAGATCGTGGTCCCCGTTAAATCATGTCTCTTCTTTGACAAGTTGAGGTGCAAGTTCTGTGATTCGTGAGTCTCTTTAAAGTTTAGCGAAATAAAAACTGGTATTCCTCCGAGAATTACACAAATACTCCGGATTTGCTGCCCTCTCTAGATCTTCGATTTCTTCATCGTTCACTGATTTATTTTTATGTTTTATGTGCCGTAAAGCTTACTTATTTAATTGCAATATTAATATGTGTTAATAGCAACCCCAGATGAATCGGACTGAAGGATGAATCGGATTTCGAATCAGGCAATTTCTCTTCGATAAAATTTATTTGTATTTTATACTTTCGTTGGTTTCAGTGATTCGAATCCCACTAATCCATTCATCTGCCGCTGCTGCACCACGAGCTACTCTAGTTACTTAAATCTATAATCTTCGCGATACAATAAAGAAGGGAATAAGATACAGCAGTTAAAACAATGCAGGAAACATTCATTCTTGATGTAATTACGAAACCATCCTATATATATAATAACGCTTCTATAACGTACATGGATGTGCCGTCGATATATATGATAGAACGTATTATTTCTTGAGACAAATGTCATTTATCCAAAGCTTGCATATTTTAGAAGTTTAGAAGCTTTTTTTAAAAACCCACAATATATTATATATATACTCAGATTAAATTAAAACAAAAAGCACAAAAACGTCCACCTTGTCAATTCTGTGATGAGTAAAACGTCATTTCTTACGTTATTTTAATGTTTTATTCCTCTTCGGGCACATAATAAATGTAAAAGAAAAAAGACAGGAAAGTCTCGATGTAATCGATCGTCGTTTTATTTCGCACAATTAATATTGAACTTCTCGTTGCAATTTGCATTTATTCCACTTTCCAGAACATTACAGCAAACGCGGTAGGAATTCACGACAGAGAAAAGGAAAAGGACATAACGTACGTATAGTGCGGAATTAAAAGCGTGATCCCTCCGGGAGGAGCGTGATACTTTCCGCGGCGCCAAGACGACGAGGCGAGAGAATGAGGCGGGGAGAAAAAGTGAGAAAAGGTGGAGAAACTGCAAGGCGCGTAAAATCCAGCTGGCATTTGCTGGCAAAAGCGAGTAAAACGAGCAGCTGTTACGCGGCGCGTTCTGTTCTCAGCGGCGTTATTACGGGGCTCTCCTCGCAAGGCGCGCGGCGCCAATCGCGCAGAAAATTGCGATACCGCACCCGGCGCGGCGGGACGAGTTCTCGCCGCATCGGTACGGAAAACGAGCAGCGAGAACCTGGGCGAATAATAAAATGGAAACGAGACGCGGCTCTCGTTTGAGGGAACCGGCCGGCTGCAGTGTCGATCGGACGGATTGGTACCGCAGGTATGTATAAATAGGCCGTCGCGTCGGTACCACTGTGGCTTGAATCTCCTGTCCGACGGACAGGATTCCCGCGAGTTTCCTGTCCCCGGTTTCATGCCCGTCCCGTTCTGGTCACCGCGGAAAAAAAGTAGCCGGCTCACTCGCGATCGTTTGTGGAAATGTGACTCTGGTAGTCGCGAGCCCGGTTTATCGTATGCGGCTCCGAGAGCACGTGGAGCAAATACTCGATGGTCGGAGTCGCACAAGGCCGATAAAGTGTCAGATAAGAGCAGCGGGCACGCAATTAATCCGCTAGGCCGTGCGATAATTATCGGAAATGGTCCAAGCCTGAGGATACTTGGTTTTACATACGATGCTTTTAATAATAAAACAGTATTGTTTATCTCTGTATTGTTTTATAAAAGCTTTGTGAGATATTTTAAATGAACAAATAGAGGCGAACTCTTTTTTTACGCAGAAACGGCACGCGACACGTTATGCTTTTTTTTTCACTCTTTGCGGGGGTTTAAATTAATTAATTTCGATAAATAAATATATATATATGTATATATTAAATCAATATAAAACCAATGTAATTTGCTTCAATCTTAAGCATTATTTATGAGAAAATTTTCAGTGAACAATGAACTTTTTCTCAACCTTTTTCATTCGTTTTACACAGCAGAATGCTCGGAAAGGACTAAATTAGAATATTAATCAAAGTATTTATAGAGAATATTTATAATTTTTGCGGAAGCGAATTTTTCATATCCTCATCGACCATCTTCTTTTTGCGAATAAAAGAGCATATGCTTCACGATGCATGATGTAATCTTCATAATTTCCTTTCCTCCGCAAACGGAATCAACAAACTGAATCCACGTTTAATCTGTTCGCATTGCACTTTTTGCACTTAACATCTTCGTTTTCTCTTTAACGCTCAAATATATATTTATCACATTTTAAATGTAAAATTTTGCGGGTTTTTAAGCAACGTAAATAGATCCATAATTTCGCGCTTTCAATTTCGATCAGAGATAATCGTTCTATCACCACGACGACTCGTAAGAATAGCTCTCGCTAGGACTGCGTCCGTATCCTAAGCTTATGTTGTAGACTCTTGAGCTACAGATTGTGACAGGACGGAATAATGCATGTAAACGGTTTACGGTGTTTACAGTCACTTGATATGTTTCTTGCGCTTTTTCCGCCCGTCTAACGTAAAGCGACACGCGATAAGATTCCCGCGGAAAATAGGTCATACCGATAGAAAATCGATTGAGTTCCATTCTTCGAAATTTTCAATCGCCGCGATGTAACTCAATAAATAACTCATGATATAAGAAGAAACTTGTTTTCTTTATAATAAAAAATTTTTTAATTCTGTTTAATTAAAATAAGTAAGTTTTTTTATATGTAGAAAATATAAAAATTAAGATCGGGTAATATATAGAAGAACGTTTATGTATAAGCAAATCATGAAAATTTGAAGATTAGGAACTTAATTTCACAAAGAATGAATCTCCATCTATTCCTTTTGTACAACTCACTTATTCCTGGCAGGAAAAATACTGTTTTCATATATGCAGACCCACATTGATACCTCACGTGCTTCTCTCGCAAGAAAAAAAAGGCGAGGAACTTCGATTGCTAACGTGACCGATAACAACATTCCTCCATCAAAAATACCGTTTCTCGACATATGATTATTTCATAATAATCGACGATTCTCTCTTGCTTTTGAATGATAGAGTATTATAAATTCAAAGGAAAATAATTTATCATTGAATAAATATGACCAATTGTCGTCGAAATTCGTGTCAACACGCTTTATAGTTATAAACTATACTATGTGTTTCATGTGCAATTTTATTTACAAAATATATTTTTATTTCCTAATTGATAAAATTATAATTTTTACAAATTACAACCAATGAAATATTTTATAATGAAAAAAAATTCATTATAAAATGTAATTCATAATCGACGAGAAATTATAATATCTTCATAAAATATATAATTGACAAAATATTTTAAAATGCAAAAATTTATATCAATTTATAAAAACGCACATTGACGAAGTCGACGTCAAAATGCATCTCTTCGTATTAATGTCATAAATATCGAATAAATTTAAGAGAATGTGATAACAAATTTTTCCTCTTACTTAGTAAGCTCAAAATTGAAGAAAATACATGAAACATTCGATGTTTCTATTAAAATATAATAATTTTTTAAATTTAAGGAGCAAAAATGTGTGTACGTGTGCGTTTCTGGATTCTTCTCTGTCAAATATTATACATGATAACAACTGCTGAGACATTGCCATTCGGCATGCAATAAATATGTGATACGAACTGAATAATTCTAAGATTGTCACATTTTTAAATGCGCGTCTTGCATAAGAACTACGCGCAACAAAAAATATTTTTTGCTTCTGCGCATCGCGTTATTTTCGTGACCACTTCTTCGCGATGATGAGGTGGTCTCATATTAAGAAATTCTTAATAAGAATCGCGGATCGGAGTGATTCCTCATTATGGCGTAATTCGATAGTTTTGAATAACAGTGGCAGAAGTTCCACGTTTCTAGAGCATGAGAGCGAATTTTTACATCGCCATGCATTCCTTAGCACCACCAAATATTGACAAGTGTATTACTTATCTATCATCGACTCATTCTGGTCCCGCTGAGAAAGGTGGAAGCCAGATTTCAGCCTGGAGAAACATATTACACTCGGCATTACGGCATTACCTTGAAGAGAAGCATTCGCAAGATGGAGTCGTCGCCCGGCATCTCCACTTCATCGTGGAAGTTGTGGGCATACCCACTGTTTCACATTAAGGTTGTGCTTCAAAACCTTAACTTCCTTGTGACCAAACGCGGTTCCACGTTCCGGATTTGCCGTCGAGAACACGCTTTCCTCGCCCACATCGTCAACGAGGAAGAGTGCCGCGACTGCTCATTGATCTCGGCAGCTCATTAATCTTTATCTCAGGATGAGAGGGACTGATAAGCTAGAACGAGGGAATGACAGGCGGAAGATAGTAGAGGAAAAGGTATTCGCAAAATCGGTCGATCGGATCTTCCGGCCGTCGTCTCGATTCCCCCGTCGACGAGCCGAAAAAGCGGCGCGAGGACTTTTAAGGAGGGACAACTACGTCGACTACGTTAATCGTCGCTCACAGATGCGTGATGATAATCTCGTCGTCGAGATCATCCTTTTCGTCGTCGGTTTCTTCCGGCTGATTGGCCTCGGCGGCTGCTTGGGCAGCCTTCGGGTCTTCGGCGATCGCTTTGAGTCGCCGTTGCTTGCGTCTGTGCAGCAACTCAACGATGATGTAGCCTATGGTACCAATGATCAGCACCGTCAGCATCACGTACAGCTTCATACGGGCGCAGAGATGTGTGCTATATGCGTAAGCGATCACGAAGCCGGCACTCTCCCACAGCCTGTAGTTCGAAAAGGCTGCCTCCTTGTTACGCCTAAACAGCGTACCGTAGAGTCCTGTAACAGTCAGTATGATAAATAACCGTCACGGGGTAATTTGGATAGTGAGCAAAATTTAAAAATAATTTAGCATCTAAAAAATTTATCCATGAAATTTCCACGATTGCAAGCATTAAAATTAAATTATTAGAGATAATAATTCTTTGTCTGGTTATATTAACGATCTTTCAACACAAAATTGAAAAATAAAAATATATTCGAAAAATCTCTCTCTCTCTCTCTCTCTCTCTCTCTCTTTTTCTATTCATTAGGAAATCCCTGAGTCGCACACTTAACTGAAACAATAAACGACTTAAGCGATTTCATTTGTTGCGGATTAACTTGGCAGGTGTTTTTGTCGGATCCGCGACTACAAATAGGTGCATTCAGGTACTACATTATGCATCGAGGTCAATCGTTTTGCGTTCATCGTCGCGTTTGATAACGGCGAGATAACGAGCCCATAGATGGATCAAATCCTTGACTCTCGGTACTCTTTAGATGTGCTTTCAGAAAGCATGTAACAGCGATAATAATGCTGCCGGTGATGCACGAGATGCCGCATTAAGGAAATAAATTACTCAAATAGAAGCGGAAAATCCGTGGGAAAGAATATATGAGAGTGTACATTAGAAATCTATTATGACGACAGCCTTAATCATTAAAAGGTTATATTTCAATTAAAAAGGATATATTGGAGCTTAAAATAGAATTTTCCATGTGATTTTCAAGATTACGCAATACCAATTTATCTTAATATGAAGAAAGCTTCGAAATTCTTCGAAGAAAATTTCTGCTGTATATGGTCGTTGTAATTTTTGAGGTTTTTCTGTGACACTTTTTAGAAGTATTTTTAGCTAATAATTAACGTTGCTTATTACTACTTAGCACGCTAAATAGAAGTTTTCACAGTGTACACAATTAACTGACAAAAGTGGATGTAAAGCAAATGCAATTGTCTACATTGTAGTTTTTGTATACCTACACGTAGTTGAATAGATTTGCATATCAGTTTCTGCAAAATCTCATGACGTGACTCAAAACAGATTAGAGCGGCGGAGAGTGAATAATCATATAAAAGCTGCCAAGGCAAAAAAAAACAATACAAGATTCGTTTTCCAGACGTGTAGGTCTGTACAGAAGCTCTAATTACACACAAAGATAAAACCTTCTATGCGCAAGCAACGCAAAATTGCCGTGTGCTATTCGATTGTTTACTATACAAGCAAACCGCGACTGTATAAAATGCAAGCGAAAATTGAATTAAAATTATTAAAGCATCGCTCAAATTTGTTTGACTCAGAAAAAAGAAGATATAAAAAAAAAAAGGAAAAAATCTAATAAGTTTAAAAAAAATTTTAATTTATATTTTTTTATAAGAATACCTTTTTTTGTTAACGTGACGATGTCGAGATATACAATGAATATGGAACATGAAACGAAATGTCCTTGAATGCAAATTAAATCCTGGAGTTAAGTACTAAGAGAGATAAGTATTGAATTTTTTAATACATCGATCTTTGAATGTTTTATATATTTTTTAATATTTTTTATGATTAACGAAGACTGGAATAATCGTTTTCCTCTGATGCCGAAATAAATTCGGATATTTACTCAATTTAATATGAGCAAATCTTTTTTTGCGAGAGAAGCTATTTTCCTAAAATTACTATTTATCTACAACATATATGATACATTGAAATGTTTTTACTATGTCACGAAATTGACGTTCCAAATTATGATTATTTTTTTAAATGGTTCTTCAAGACGTTCGTCTCCAAAAGCACTCTTATCATACATATTTATTAATTTGATTAATTACATAATGGTGACATGTGTAAAGTACAGAAAATTACTTTATAATTGATCCGACAGACGATAATTATAGAAGCAATTTAATTCGTTAATTCGTAATTTATAACCTTTTCCTGACACGCTTAATTTTTTTGACATATACGTCATTGAACTTTCTATCTAGTGTCTTATCAATGGCGAGCAATCATATGGAAAATTGATATTTATATAATGCAAAATATCAAAATCGAGTTTTATAAATCTAACATTAGAAAAGTTTCTTTCTGGATGAAAATGAACGAATCAGAAAAGATTCTGATCACATCGATCAAACTTCTAATTAAGATAATCAAATGTCCAATTATGATGATCGGAATTCTAATTGATGATGATCAGAATCTTTTGGTTTGTCTATTTTTAACCAGAAATTTTTCTTAATGTCAACTCAATAACGAAGATATTTGCCTTTTTTTTTTCTGGACTTGATCGATTAGTGATCCTAATTCTCAGATCTCAGCAGAAACGTTAATATTAATGAGAAGCGATATACACTCCAAATATTATTCATCAACTTATCGTGAATACATTAAAAATACTCGTTAAGTGTCCGTCTATCAATATTTATATTGACTGCGAACAAACAAACGCGAAATGTGGCCAAAAAATCTTGATAATTTTAAATTTTTTCTCGCAACGTTTTAGCTGACGTTTCACACGTAGGTTTACACTCACCGTTAACCTGCGTCTGCCACACGGCATCGCCCACACCCCACAGTCCTGAGACCGAGAAAAAGACATAGGGATTGTCGGGATGAGGCTTCCACATGAGAAGAACAACTATGAGAGAGGCATGAACGATGGCACCCAACGCCATCAGTGGCTGTCTGCCAACAAATTTCATTAACGAGCCAAATAGTAAGGAACAGCCGGCGTTGACCACGCCAAAGCAGATCATGACATAGCCAACTCTGTGGACGCCCAGTGCGCAGGAGATGTATGCCTGGAAAGCACAAAATAATTCAATTTAATGTCTTTCCTTTTTTCAAAATTAAAGATAGTCTTCTAAATTCAAACGTTGCGGAGATTTCCGATACATTAGATATATATATATATTAGAAATTTTGAAAAATTGTATGAAAATGATTAACTTTTAGTTTCTCATCAAATGCTAATAATGACGGAATTAATTGTTATTTTACAAGTTTCTATCAAAATTTATTATAAAGACAATAAGAAAGCAAAAATAAAAGAAATTGATCGACATCTCTATAAAAAACAAAGAATGATTTGCAATAAATTATGATTTTTAAACTTTTTTTTCTCTCTAATGTAAAAATATCTCTAATACAAATACATTATAATTATCTTAAATTGCATATTTGTGACATGTAATCGGTCTCTTTCATTTTTGTTGATTTCACATACACTTTTATACATTCACAGGATTTATATATGTATATGTTAATTTGATTTTTAAAATACGGACGATTCTTAGTCAGTTCGAATTTTACAAGAAAAAGAATATTAAATTTTTCTTTTCTGTGCTGAATCAATGGGTTTGTTCTGGAGGAAGTTGATGTCAATCTGCCTTTGTATGTATTTATAGGGGCAATTATAATCCCATCAATCGTTGCCGACATAATAAGAGGACAGACTGAGATTTAGCTCGAATTTTTTTAATTTGTTTGGATTTTTAGCATCTTTATTTCCATTTAAATTTATTATGACATAAGATTTTGATGATATATTATCGAAACGCACGCATGTCCTTGAATTCTTCATTACAAAAAGATTCTTATTTCTTTTTCTTTATATTATCGTATTATATTCTTTTTTAATACTATTATATTCCTAAGACCAGGAATATTTAACCGCAGTTAATTTTTATTTAAAACAAGAATAATAATCAAAAATATTATATGTTAAAAAAATATATATATTTAAAAATTTTTTTAATATTTGATGTTGTTTTGAGCGAGATAACATTTGGAGCTGCGTATTTATGTAGTAAGTAAGCAAAAAATAATGATAATTTTAAAAATAACTGTCATTAATCATTAACATGTCATTAATCATAACGCGGATGAAATTTAATTTTGAGCTAATAATATATAAGATATTCAATTGCCAACTTTAAATACATGGCATCAATTTCATGAAATGTTTTGCACGCTTCATTAATTATCAATATATTAAGAGTTATTCGATAATATAAAATGTATCACTACAGGTTTTAAAGTTGATTGGCAACAGAGATTAATTCGTAAAAATTATAAGTAAAAGTTATAAGTTCAAATTAGCGTCATAAAAATGTTTATGCGCAATTATCTTTCGCAATATGCAAACATCGTACACCTTAGCTATCAAATACACTAATCTCGAATGAGAGATTTCTTCAATTATTTACATTTGTAACATTATCTCGACAGAAGGCGCATTATATGTATATAAAGCGCATTTATCGCGTGATCATTTCATGCTAACCGTTAACGCATAAATACCCACAAGACGCCCTTCGTAATCTCGGATCCAGAATTTTTACGGTAGGATCACAGCCACGCTGAAGGACATTTTAATGTCTTATGTCTTACGATAAGTGGCAATTCAACATTTAATCAAACATCATTTTAAACATCACGGCCGCATTATTGCATAAAATAACGTATCCTCAATTCTCTTCCTATGTTATATATTTAATAATATATGAATTGTATAATCATTGGTAGATATATGTTAAAGAACGAAGTGATTTATTTGTAATACCGCGCATAATATCCGCTGTGACTTTTTGCATTTGTAACAGCATTTTTAGTGTATAAGAACTCCACATGGAATGCATTGATAGCTTGAAGTAATCTTTCTTTCAAATCAATAAAATTTGCATTCAATATCATTTCTGTTTCCATACGTCATATGTAATACATGTCATATTATTATATATTATCTGTTGCTTTCGGTGAGCAATTACCTCATTAAAACAGTTTGATAAATAAATTTCAAAACATAAAAAAACATATACATGTAATAAAAAAAGCGTAATTAACAAACAAATTTCATTGTTCTAGCCAGTAACAAATTTACACAGTCGATAAATCGGCAAATAATTTCTTCAAAAAATATAATGTTATTGTTGTTTACGTGCCCACATAAAATTTTAAGCAAAACTTTGTAACAATGTTTTAAAAAAAATTAAAATAGGAGAGAGCTTATATACTGCTAAAAGCAAATTGTTAATTTAAAAAACGCATAATAGGCTTTTTGAAACATATATAAAAATGTCAAAACATATATTAACATTTTATTTTTAGAGAGCAGTGTACATTTAATTAACTCTTCGCGTGAAATCGTGATTAACAGTTCCTATAAATCTAGTGTAGAGTTTCATTGAACTCGAAATGCATCATCGCATTCTTTTCATTACAATATTTTTGCGCAATTCTTCACTGAACGATATCCGTGAACGTTTGAATGAAATTATGTGTCCCGAGGCGTTCACGAGATCAGACCGAAGCGAATGGTGACTACGACACGTGCACGCATACACGTGCATGTGTGGCACGTTAAGAAATACTGGTACACGAGATTCCAGATATGGAAACGATATCGCCGGATCGATGCGAGAATAAGCTCGTAGGGCTATTTATAACAGGTCCAGCGCCCACAGCTGACTCAGCAGAGCCTGCAACTACCACGTTTTGCTCATTTCTTTTTCTTTTTTTTTTCCTCTCTTTCCGTTTCATTTTCTCGGCGCGGATTTAATTGCCCAATTATCCAGCTCCCCGAGTCGAAGACGTCGTACGACCTATCGGCGAATCAATTTCGAACGAATCGCAACTCGCGAACCGGAGGTTGTTTTTGCCATAATGCAGGGTCGCTCAGTAATGAGGGGGTTCATCCGATGCGACCTTCCTCGATTAATTCCAGTCCCTTACGTGAGACTCAAGCTCTTTTTGTAATTTTCATATATAGATTGATAATGAGCAATATCTGACCGTTTTACAGAATATACCTATGTATGTAACTCTTTAACAAACCTACTTTTGTATAAAAAGAATTCGTAAAAAGTAATGTAAAGAAAGTACGATATATTCTTATGCATTTTATGTTGGAAAAAGCAAAACTAAACAGCAACCTGAAGTGTGTATCTTTACGTAGTGTCTTGAATTATTTTTCGAGTATTATAAGATTTTAGAGACAATCTTTATATAGAAAATGTACTAGAAAAGAATACTAAATTTTAATAAATATTTGTTTGAATATTTCTAAGTATTTACTAAATGTAAACATATATTTATTTAATACAAAAATCATTAATTTCATTTAGCTATTACTGTTTTATTGAGTGAATATTTATTTATTGTAAGTTTACTTAGTATATTATTCAAGATTCAATAAATTTCTTTTTCAGTGTACCATATGTTTTCTACTAATCATTATATAAAAAGCAATTCTAAAGAAATGGCTGGAACTCTCGGCAATCCGAACACAAGAACAGACTGATCCGTTAAAAACTGTAGTAGCTTAATCATAATTGTGTCGCAAAAAATCAACTAACTCGATGGTAGCTGCTCGATGCTGCTTCAAGGTGTGTTTTTGCTGACAGTCACGGGATGCCGTATTTGTAACGTCCGAGAGAAGGTAAAGATACGGGATATCGTCGGGCAAGTTTATTACCGGGTAGACAGCATATAAATTACGCAAATCCATTTTTCCAATCGGGAGTGATTAATTTAGACGCGGCCAGTGATTACCACCGTATCTGTTCTTTCTTTCACGGTATATCCAAGAACTTCTTAGAGAGACTTTTAATTACATTCCCTATATACATGAACAAGTATCGCGCTACATCCTGCATTCAAATACCTTTTGGTTTAATGACGTTTTTACTCGCGTGTCAGACATACGTACATCACACTAAAAACGTCTGCTGTAAATGTTTCTTTCTTATACATATATTTTCTTCTTTTGTTTAAATTGTTTTTCTCTTCTCTTCTTTCGCTTTCATATGACGAACATATATTTTAGTTGAGGTATATTTACTTTCTAAATCAATTATCACGTGACACATTTAATCATTTTTCTCTTGTGTAATGTTCTAATTCATCTTCATTATTATTTTTAGTTAATTACATCTCTTGACGTATTTTGTTTCATTATTTATATTTTTTTTTACAAAATATAAAAAATAACTTTATCGCAATCTCTTAGATTATTTTCTTTAAATATAGTTTTATTTTATTAAAAGATCAATCGCACGTGACTCAGAGCACGGAGATTTTAATGCTCGCAGTAAAGATATGAAACGTTCTGTCTTGTGATATATTTTAATATTTTTCTATCTAATGAAAGATCGTATATATCTCATAAGATAATTTTGAAGTATAAAACATGCTTTTATACTGTAATAAATTTTTCATTTACTTTATTACATAAATACATGACACATTTTCTAATGATATAGCTTTATATCGTTAGAATTAATAACAGACTTTGTGTATGTCTATTAATAGGAATTTTTAATCATACGTTTTGCGTGTAAGTCACTTTTCAATAAAGTCATCATTAAAAGAGTTAACGCACACATAAGCCTAGTTTTTACAAATCTCGTATCTCTAATCGGCAATACGTATTTCCGAAGGATGATCATGCGTCCTCGTGTGGCCGTCACGCATCGAGAAACTGGCGTTCCACATCTGTGTTCAGCTGATCCCGATCAATTTTTCATTGCGATTCGTTGATCACGACTTGTTATCTGAGGTACAGCGCACGAAAAGAAGTCAAGCGAAAGGTTTCTCATAGAGAAGAAAAATGTATTGTACGTGACTCTGTTGTGACAATGTTATTTTTTGTATTGCTAAATATTGCAAAAAAATAACAGATTAAAATATATTTTATTGTTAATATCAATGCATCTACAACAGTGGCCAAATTAGAGAGATTTATTAACAAATAAATTGACACGCTTCGTAGAAATTATAAACTGAAAATCTAATAGACACATTCCTTATTCAATTGTTTTACCGTTCACGGATAAAAATTTTCGAATAAAATGTACATTAAAACCTAGCATGAAATTACTTATGACGTCAAGTATACAGACACAAAAGCTATCTTAGAATCTGTTGAACGAAAATTGACACTAATTTGATAGAAAGTGGAGCCGGAGCGGTAAATCTCCGCTTCGAAGGTAATTATTAAAGCGGATTTAAAAAATCTATAAGGATATGATACGTATGTACGTCGTCGGTTTCACGATCTTAGCTGGTAATTTCCGCGCCGAAGAAAAGAAAAGTGTCTACCGGTTTCCACGAGTGAGAACTCCTACTATCAACGAAGATTGTCGTCGCGACTCGCCAGTAGTTCAAGACTAGATCGGAAAAGACAGACTCTGGCGCCAGTTAAAGATCGTGCAAAAAAAGAAAATCTATGGAGAGACCGACCGGTTACAGAGCTCGATGACCGATCAGCAGCTTCCATTATACCTATATATATCTTTATAGCCTCGGGTTTCCTCGGAAGTAGGTTATCTACAGATTCTCAGAACTTGATCGGAATGTATCCCGAAAAGGATTCCTTTCGCACAATCCAACACAAGTGGAGAGATAATTACATAATTTTACATAAAAAATGGCACTGACTTAATTATTTTTTTATTATATTGTTAAATTTATAATGTCAAAATTTGTAATATTTATACTCAGTGTGAGTTACTTCCAATCATATCTATAGGTCGCCACGTTCCTACTCAATGCATCTGTTTAAATTTAGTTTATTATTTATTAATGCATACGTTAATGGACATTTTTACCTTGAAACTCCAGAAATGGATTGATTTATGTTTTAACACAAATGGAAGTTGAAAAGAACAAAATGTTATTTAAAATTCAAAGGATTGGATTTTACTATTGTTTCTTCGATATCTAAGATAAATATATTCATGGACCGATTAACAGATCTACAGTGACAAGAAATAACGTGCGACACGCTCGAATCATTTTAATCTATTTCTAACTTTATGCTGGATGTTCTTTTCGTTTTCCCGCATAGACTACTGACAGCTTTTCCACGTCTGTTATTGTATATCCTATAGTGAAATATTCCTCCGGCGGTCGAGATTTTACCGTTTTCGGAGACTGTCGTTTGTCATGACAAATAATTACGTCCGCGACGGTTTTACGTTATCGCGGAGCAGCACCGATAAATCTTCGAGCGCGGTTTGCAACGCAATAAATGCGGCTGTACGTGCCCGAGAATAAGAAAGGAACGCTATAAACGAGAATACGGAACTCCGCTTTTTTATTCGTCTCTCTTTTTTGTCTCTTCGCCGTCCGATGATGGCTCGAGTTCGGACTGTAATTACAGAGTCAGGCCGAGTTGACGTCATTGTGCTTCGTTAAAGTCGGATCCTGGTACGAAGCCAAGGACGGCCGTTTCCTTATCAATGCTCCACGAGAACACGTGGACCCGAGGGGCTTGCAATAAAAGGTCGATACACGGTGCAGCCGTGCAGATTGCAAAATGGAATGCCATTGTTTTACCGGCGGCTGCCGTTTACAGTGTACGCGAAAGGGAGAGACTTGGCGTCGATTTATATGTCGGTGAACGATTGAAACTGACATTAGAAAGTATCGTGCATTTTAACGCATACGATCAAATAAATCTACTATGATAAATTCATTCATACGCATCCCAGTTAGATCGACAAAAATTCTTGTGTAAATAATTCGTGTCAAACTTGATGGTAAAAAATTCAATGTTACTTGCTAACAAGAAAAATTATTAAGAAAAATTAAATTTTTACGACTCCCGTGTATTACGAGCTTGTATATTTTAGATCATTATATTAAACTTTTTCAGTTATTTCAAATATTATACATATGATACATGTAAAGATATATTTATCGTTATCTAACAAATATCAGATCTCATATAGAAATTGTTCCTCACTGTAGAAACTATGATTAAATTTCCACAGTATTACTGACGTCGATCGATTTAGAAATGATAGATAGACGCTATTTCAAATTCGTTTATTATTTGAAGAGCTCACCTGTGTGAAATCGGCGCCGATGAAAGCCTGCTCCATGCCGATCCATATCGTAATGGGTATCAACAGTTGCTGGTAAGGTTTCTTCAGCTGGTAAGCCGTAGCAGAGAGCAATTGTATGCCGCTCAATTCTTGGCTGTCCGATCGCCGTTGCTTCTCGCCATACCTGGAAGACAATTAAGAATTCTATGAACCCATATGTCCCCTTGAGAAGTCAGTTAAAATACAATTACTCCGCGTTTTATCGACTTATTAACTTATGGAATACAAAGAGTTTCTAGCGTAATTAGATGTAAACGTACAGAAATAAAGCAAGTGCGCGTCGTAGTAATCGGCCGGATTCCGGGAAGACAAAATTGCGACTGTCGAGCGATTCATTCTATAATAATACGTTTCAGCGATAATGGGGGAATTTTCATTCACTCGCTTTTCCGCTGTCAGCAAAATCTGTGCAATTTTAATCAATTTTAGATGAATAGTACAGACATCTACGTTTGTTCAACAAGTCAACAAGTAGCATTGTGCCTGACGTTTCTGTCTCTCTCTTTTGTCTTTAGAAGAATTTTTACGCATTGTTTACAGCATTAAACCTTTAATTACTCTCATTATCTAAGTACTTGTTTTTCTTTTTGCAAAATTATTCGATTATATTTATTTTAAGATGACAAGGACTATTCTAAGCATTTATATGTGCGGTTATATTTTACGTCGAATATAATTTCGTACGATGTACGTAATGCGGCATAAGTCAAGAGTTAGGCGAACAAAAGAGCGGGAAACGCGAATGAACAATGATGATCGGCTGCCGCTTAGAACGTATGATTTTCCGGCAGACTTTTGCGCCGCTATTCGCAAAGAGGAAGAGCGGGCTCGCTCGGATGGGGATTAATGACGATCGCGATTAATTATCATCGCGATTGTGCCATCCATGTACTTATTCAGTGTCCGTGCAGCGTGAGCCACGCGGAAACAAGTTGCGTAATTAGCAAACTTCCACTGGGCTGTACACTGCCATTGAACGGTGCCGCGTGTCGAGCTGTGTTCATTCATTGTTTTGTGCTACGATTAGATAAACGAACGCTGGGTGACGTATGATCCAATTCACATTTCATATGATTTATAATAAATCAGCGATTGGCGAGAATAATAATTATATCTTTTTTATTTAATACAAAATCGGATTACTTGTTGTCAGTATTTTTCACGACGCGACGATATAAACATAGTGACGTTTAATGTTTTAGATTAGATCTCAATTATTTTACACAAACGTCATTTTACATAAAAGATATATTTTTGCTGGCATTAATTTATTGAATAACTGTATTTAATCATCAGCAACGTACATTCTACAAAAAACTCATCACACACACACATACATGCATATAGAATTCTGTTTCATTAATGAGACAATTTAATTGCGCGGGTAACGTAAGATACACGTATTATACTATGCGTCTGATACTTGTACGTCGATACTTTTCATTGATATAATAAAGAAGGAAAAAAGTCGGAACATCGCATTCTCGTGTTAGGCAAAGTACTAATCTTTAGTAAGATCGTAGTTTGAAAGATTTATGTGCTGTGTAAAAGTCGCACGCGGAACGGTACTTCGGTCAATGAAAACTTCGAGATTAACTACGCAGTTGAAATTTACCTTTTCATTTTTTAACATTTTCACGCGAGGACATTCAATGCCAATAACAGAGAGATTCAACACAAAAAATGTTAAAAGCTTAAAATGCCTTGAAAATTTTACTCGTAGAACCTGTTGCACGACATTTTATTCATCAGTTCTCTCAATCTTTTATCACAGAATGATAAATTAGATCTCGACGCATCTAAAATTTCTTTGGTAGACAATTATACAAAATTTGATTATATCGTTATGATAAATATTCTGAAATGTAAAAAAAGATATCATGAGATCTTAAGAACTCCCTGCTGTATATTACAGAATTAACGGATGTTACGAGAATGAAAGTTGCTATCGCGTTTTTTCGCGGCGACATCCAACGAATATAAACCCGATACTAAATTTAGCAGACGAACCAGGCAGACGTAATCAGCTCTGAAGATCCGCGAGAAGTTTAAGCCCGAGACGGCGGCGGCGGCGGCGGCGGCGGCGCAATGGCTGATGCCGCCTCGGTGAGAATTCGCGAAATAAATCTCCTGACGCCGCTAAACGCTCGGCATACGCTCGACAGCAAATGTTCTCCACCCGGGGGGACGGCATTCCTGAGAACACGTTTGCTGGATTTCTGGGCCCGGCCGAAGCCACGGCCATCGTCAGCAGTCGTAGAGAGCGCGGTTCGAATCGACACTTTATGCAAAAACAGGTACCACACGACTCTCTTCAGGCGGAAGGAGACGTCGAGAGGATGTGGGACGGTGTGATCTTTGACGTGATCTTCGGCGCGTGATCCTCGGCGTATCTTTCACGGCGATCTATACGTTAGTCCATATTGCTTTCGAATCGTCATTAATCGCGCCTATTGATAGGCTGAGCAATCGTGACGAGTGAATCCTTCATCTTGAGGATATTCGGCGAAAGACGAATCGCATCTGTTAAACGTCATATTTTTTTCGTACGTTGATCTCTGGTTGATAAGCGACGTATTTCCGCACGCGAATATTTATTGAAATAAAGAGAAAGCATCATCTACTTGAGACGTATGAATGTCTCGTTAGGCAGAACTGATTAATATGGTAGTATTATAATTAATTTATACATTTTGCTTCACAAATTCCGGAAAAATTCATCTTCATTTTTCAGAATATTTTTTTTAGCAAAAATTGCGAAAATTAAAGAAATTTTTTCTTTAACTATATAACAAAGAAATTTCTTTGAATCACAACAAAGAACCATCTTTCTTTAGGTGTGACAAAAAGCATTGTCATGGTAAATTTTAGATCTATCGATTTCATTTTTAAACTTTACAATGTCAATAATTAATTAACTAATTTACTATTTTTATAATTTCAGGCCAAGCTGTAATATAAATTAAGAACAAGATTAATTTTCAATTTGATTACAATAATAATCTTCAAAATATGAACAAAACCATCTTAATTTATTACATAATTTTCTATTTCAACATAATTGTTTGTAGGATTTTATATTTTATTGTAAAGAGAAACAAAGATAGCGTTAAATTATTTAGAAAAGCGAACTTTTTTCGAAGCTATCGAATTCAACTCGTAATCGTTTTAAGCCTCATTACCTATTATAATACAAGAAAAGAACTTTCTTGCCATTAATATAATTACATGCAGTAGTGACGCTATTGATATTTTCACTTAGATTTGCGGCACGTGCACATTTTCTTGAATTGTCACGTGTGCGAGTGTCGCGCAATAAACTTACAAACGTCGTCCCTATACCGGAAAATCGATTTGACTCGTGCTCGCAACTTCTATGAATTCACGCAACATCAATCACGAAAATCACACTCTCTCTCCTCGAATAGAAAGAACAGAATAAATCGCTGCACATTGCATACATATTATATATAAATACACGCTTTGCGAAAATCGCGAGCGGATTTATGCACGCACGAGTCGCCGCGCGTTAATCCAGATACATAATTCAAAAACTCGAACAATTTAATGGACTTCAATAGCAGTCAGTGCAATAACAGTCGTCGATACTGCTCTACGCCTTCAAAAAGTACGTTATATTATGAATTATCATCATTACTAATTTTTCTCCTCTCGTGTTCTTTACCGATTACCCGCCAGTTTTGTACTTGGCGGCGGAAAAGTTTATGTCACCGTAACCTAAGAATTTCTTCACGCAGTTTTCAATCAAAGTTGCATTTTCACGAGTATACTTCTGCTGCGCTTTCCAACGCGCACAGACCAGAACCGTTATGATGCAGCCTTGGAAGCAATGCGAATGGAAGATAGCGGAGACGCTTTACAGCCGCGATCTGCGTCCGGATCTAATACACTCGTTTCTTACATAAGACTCCCCGTAATGTGCAGACATCACGGACAATGCTGTCATTATGACGAATGACGGTGGAAGGAAAGAGAGCGACACATGTAAGTACTCGTAACACTCTCAAATCTTTTGACATTTTATGGACAACACGTCCCGAAGAGAAAGTCCAACGGATGCCCTTGTTTGCGAAATTAATTCCGACAAATTGATTCGATTGAACATTCTTTCTCTTTTCTTCCATCACGTATTGCATTTTTAAATTCAATAAAGTATATATATATATATATATAATCAGTAATTATCCGTCTAATTGCGAATTTAGAAAAAAAGCGAGAGATACATTGTAATTATAGCAACAAGCTTAATTTATTACTTATTATTATTCAATTTGTAACACAACATTAAATTGGTTTTCTAAGAGGAAATGTACCATAACTTATATATTTAGCACATCAATTTCAATATAATTTACGGCCACCGCGGTCTCGTTCTGCGGTTCGCCTTCCTCGACAACGCGGTAAACGTTATGCAGGTCAGAATTGTCTTTCTTTTAATAATGTCGCCTGTTGAGTTGCAACGATGTAGTTACGTTTGTTGCTGTGTTAATAAACTAGCAACTGCACTTGCTAAACAGGTTCACTATTTCTCGAACCTGTCAGCATATCAATGATGCATTTCATTTAGAGGAGATAAGTATACTATTATTGAGATTATATCTCAAGATATTTAATAATTAATTTTCTAATCTTATTAAATTAATTTTGAAAGAGTATAAATAAAGATTAATATTAATTGTTTTTAGATATCAATTAGATATTCAATTTAAAAAAGAATTAATTAAATATTTAAAATACGTTTCTGCATTAAATGGTATTTCGCGGAGATTTCATCCCTTTCATTTCTTTCAAAATTTCCTTATATAGTAATAAAATAGTTTTTCTCTCTAAATCCAAACCTCCAATTATTCTATTCATTTAAAGGCTTTCCGAGGACTATCATCGCTATAATAATGCTTGCAATACATCGAGTAGACACGCAACGCGTGCGTTAAGACTGTCGAAGCGGGCTGAAATAGGCCGGATATCGAAAGTGAGTCAAGTATTCTCAACATGCGATATATTTTATATACATATTTTTAATGCTTGGTATACGCGTCTATCTACGAGGATAAATTAGCGGCATGCATATGCACCGAGTCGACCGGAAAGGGATACGCGAGC